GTGACAAAACTGCGCCAACAGCTTTATCGCTGGCATCTGTATCTAGAGTAAATGGTAGTCCTGGTAATGGAAATCCAAGTATTGGTGAAGTTGTAAGAGCTGTTTTGAGGGTGTCAAATGCATTCTGACATTCAGGGGTCCATATGAACTTCGTCTTTTTCTTGTACAAATCATGGAGGGGCTTTGCTATCTCTGCAAAATTCTTCACAAATCTTCTGTAGTAAGAACAAAGTCCAACGAATGATCGAATTTGTCTTTCATTCTTGGGGATTGGCCAGTTTTTGACAGCAGATGTTTTCTCTGTATCTGTCTGGATACCTTGTGAAGAAACTACATGGCCTAGGAATTTGACCTGATTTTGGAAGAATATACATTTTGATGGCTTGAGCTTCAGATTTGCTTCTTGGAGTCTTGTGAAAATATTGGCTAAGCGCTGAAGGCCTTCATCAAAAGTTGAACTGTGGGAAATTATGTCATCCATATAGACTAAGCATTCAGTCCACTGTAGACCCTTTAGTACATTCTCCATCAGTCTCTCAAATGTAGACGGAGCATTAACCAGACCAAACGGCATGACTCGAAATTGGAAAACTCCTAATGTTGTAACAAAGGCAGTCTTCTCTTTGTCCTTTTCAGCCATCTCGATTTGCCAGAAGCCTGAATTTAGGTCCATTGTTGAAAACCATTTGGCACCAGAAAGTGAATCAAGGCACTCGTCAATACGAGGCAACGGATAGGCGTCTTTCACAGTTTTCGCATTCAACTGTCTGTAGTCGACACATGCTCTAGTGGCTCCATTCGGTTTAGCTACTAAAACTAGATTTGATGCCCAGGCACTTGTGGATGGTTCAATTACACCTTTCTGTAACATGTTCTGTACTTCACTTCTTTCAATATCTCTTTTTGCTATAGGCTGTCTCCTTAGGGCCTGTGTCACAGGCTTTTCATTTTCTGTATCTATCCTGTGTTTTATTATACCAGTGCAGCCAAGATCATCTGGTGTCTTGGAAAATACATCTTTGTGCTGTAGGAGTAGTTTGAAGAAAGCATCTTTCTGTTCTCGGTCTAGATTTATCGAACTTCTTTCAAACATGTCCAGGAGATGTTCTGATAAATCTTTTTCAGGAGTTGTATTTTCTTTGGTTCCCTGAAGAACTAAGACTCTCTGTGGTAAGGTACCCTGGTCTACTAAATATGTGTTCCTGCATTTACCAATTGTAGTTCTTGCTTGTAGTTTTACAGGTACTTCTCCAAAGTTTACAATGTTTACATGTATCTGATCAGACTGGGTATCTATCAAACCATCCAAAACTTGTATGTCATCGCTGAAGGTGTTAAGTTGCTCTAGGAACCGTATGTCTGTGAGGTCATCATTCTCGGTCAGAGCTACTGGAACCCAGATGCCACAATTTGCAGGTATGGAAACTGTTCTCTTGACCTCTACATTTGTACCCGTTTGATCATTGGCAATCCAGCATTGAACAGTTGTCATCTCAGTTTGTAATGTTTTTGTTTTGTAGTCGATGTGACGACAATACTGCAAGAGGAAGTCTTGTCCGAGTATAGCAGGAAGATCCATGTCAACCACCACCAAGTCAATTGCATGTGGAACATCTTCTAGATAAATGTAAAACTTTCCTATACCATGGACGGACAATGCGTGACCATTCAAATCTTGCACACATATGTTTGAGGGTTGAAGGACAGGACACGAATCCTCTGGGATCTTCAGAAATTCAACATGTGACAAAAGTGATGCAGTAGAACCACTGTCTAGTAAAAAATTAATATCCAACCCACCCAATGTTCCAGTAATATGGAAACCATTGTCTAAGAATTTTTTTTCTTTATTTAAAACCACCCCCCTTGAGTCATCAGGACTAGGTCTTGGCTTATCCACCAGCTGTCGACCTACAAGGCTGATGGTCTCCCATTTCCCTGTTGGTAGTTTTGTCGCCTTTGTACATCTTGATTTCTTCTCTGCCCAGGTCTTGGTTTGTCCAAATAAGGACAGTCTTTGATGAAATGTTTAGGGGAGTTGCAATGGAAACAGAGCTGAGGGGAAAGCTTCTTGTTAGCTCTTTCCAAACGGTCCAATCTGTTACTGATTTCTTGTATAATTGTAGATGAATCAGGGGCGTTGCATCTAGATACAGCAGGGGATGTTAACTTATTGGTCACCGGCACAGCTTGGGGAACATTGAATTCCTCATCAATTGTTTTCACAGCTCTAGCATGTTGTTTCTTTTTGTCGTAGTTTTCACCAAGGATGGCTTCATATCTGTCAATTATGTCTGCGGCTTCTGAAATACTCTGACAATCTTTATCAATACATCTGCACTTCATCTCGACACTTATCAGCTTGTAAAGGTGATTTAAGGCTAAAATTTCTTGAGCTTGCTCATCTAAATTGCAGTAAGCTTTCTGAACCATTTGTCGGATATCATCACCTAGAGCAGCAGCACTCTCGCCCTATTGTCGTCTGCGTGATTCAAGCTTAGCTAACCATTTGTTCTGGTGTCTCGAATTTCCAAATCGCTGACTAAACTTGTTGGTAAGTGCATCAAAAGATCTTCTTTCAAGCAAGGATAAGCTCATGTAAAATGTCCTGGCTTGGCCTCTTAAGCTTGCAGCAAGGAACAGAACCTTATCTCTCTCTGTCCATAGGCTTAGTTCTGCACAGTCATTGAAATGTGAGATGTACTCTTCCCAGCTTACAGTACCATCATAGGACTCAGGTTTCATCGTGTAATTTACAGGTTGGATAGGGCTTGAAAATATCTGAGGAGCAGGTCTTCCAGAAAAACCACTGTAGGCACTAGGTGGACCACGATTGTCTTCATTTCCTCTGGGAGACGATCTTTCTAAAAGTACCTCATTGCTCGACTTCTGATGTTCGTCATACGTGTCACCTTGACCGCCATCGTCAAACATCACCGACTGAGGCACGCGTACTTCGACTTCATGATCGACCGACTCACCGGATTCTGACATCTTAATTTTCTTTATGTCGTCTTAAATAAGCAGTAATAATTCTAATGTTAAATCTATGTCATCTTATCTTCTAAGACTGTAATGTTGATGTTAAACTACCACACTGGACGGCTCATGGGCTCGTATCAGGACACTAAAATAATTTAGTATCCCACTTCTGACACCAGTTTGTAAGCTACCCCAGGGGTGGCTAGTATTTCTGAATCCTCAGCATCTATATAGGCCATAGTTTATCTTCTAAATAAATCATCTTTTGTCAGGATGTACCAGTAATTAAATTTGTTCTAATATGTTAAACAACCAGGCACCACTCTGTGTAGATTCTTTGTTGAATGATACTCAAGATGGTTGATCAGTCATACTCAGCATTTATTGTATGTGCAGCATCTCATAATCATAACAATACAATATGTAAACATCAATATAAAACAGCTGATTCTTCAGAAACACAAGTTTAGGTCGTCCAGTGTGGTAGGAGATTTCTAACTAGGCTAGATATACGTAAATAACATTATAAGTATCTCACCGTTTTGGTTTTCTATCTTTTAACTTTCAAATATAGCCGCCATACAACTAGCTGAAATCTGTCGTAACGTAGTATGCGCTCGCTTATATAACCTCCCATTCCCTGTCACATGACTCGAATTATCCAATAAAATTATGCCGTACGAACTATTAACCAATCAAAAGCTTGTACGGGAGGCTGAGTTCCCACACAAGTTCCCACACAGAACTACTTCTGCCACACAAGCTTCCGTACAACATCGTAACTAGAAAAACTATGTAAAATTAACAAGTGGAAATATAACACATAAAATAAGCTTGACTAGACGAATTAATAAATTCCTTCAATGTTTATAAAACATCCCTAGACTGTACAATATATGCAGAACAATGTAGCGTATGAATATCGTAACTACCGATACTAGCGTACACAAATGTAGTCCCGATAAAGCTGACTGATTATAAAGTGAATGCTAACAATAAATAACAACTTGTAGCTTCAAATCACAAAACAACTCAAACTAAAAAGTAGAATACGATCCCATATTCATAACTTCAATAGAACAATGCATTACTAGTAAATACATATAGGTCACCAAACCGGAAATGACGATCCGAGTAAAGTATGATGGCTTCCAAAACATGAAATGTAAAATCCACCCTCTATTCCCCGATATTATAACTCCTACGATATTACATGAAGCGACAACAGGTAAATTATGATGATAATAGCTATTACTAAAATCGTATCTAGAAAAGCTGACATATTATTTCCAATAAAATCATAAACGAACAACTTTCCTGGCAGGCACATGTTGAACATAGATTTAACAAGAATGAGAACTGGACGACCGCATAATATTACGTTTACAAATCAAGTGATATATTACAATACCATAATATGTGTACTTTTATATTTAATATAATACAATGCATTATTTCAAAGTTTAAACAAGAAGGTATGGCCATATCTTTAAAAAAAAAAGAAGGTTTGTTTGTCCTCTCCAAAACATTTTTAGCTCACCTTAATTACCTGTTGTCCATTATCCGTCCGTCTGTTTGTAAACTTTCTTCTTTTTCTCAAGTCCCACGAGGCCAATTTTAACCAAACTTTGTACAAAGTATCCTTGGGTAAAGGGCAGTTAAATTGTTCAAATGAAGGGCAAAACCCTCTTACAATTAGAGATAATCAAGAAAAACAAAAGACAAAAATAGTGTGGGGTCTTTAAAAAATTTCCCACGGGTCACTGTACCTGAAATGCTGAAACTTGTGTGGAAGCATTCTTTGGTAATGCTGATTCTAAATTGTTCAATGGGCCTCTTGTTTACTTTACCCTAAATTATTATGTTGAAATTTTCTACAAAAATCCCCAATCACCTACCTGCCGACTCATTTTTTTTAAAAACCCGGAGTCAGGAGAGAACATACAAACATTATTTAAAAGATGGCTTAATTACGATTTTTTTTTAATGGTTTACATCCTTGTTTGATCAAATCACAGTTGATGAGACCAAAATTTGGAATGATGTGAAAATGCTAAATGCAAACAGTAGCTGGCAGACTTTGGAATCACCAGTGTATGGCCAGGCTGTTCCCTTTGGATTACAATTGGAGTGGTTAATAACAGCAGAATCATACACAGTGGTTTCTTTGGAGGTATAATCTTTCATTTTGATGTATTCCCCAACAAGAGTATTTTAAAGCAAATACATCTATAGGGAGAAGATACATTTATGGGATATTGTTACATTAGAGAAAGCAAGTAAAAATGTACCAAAAATTAAATTGTCCTCTGTTTTAAGATTTTACCATAAAAAATGTTTAAATATATATAAGTTTGTAATTTTCTTTCAAATGTACAAAATTCACAATATTTCATAAAATTAGATAACAAAAAGTTTTTTATAGGATATCTTATTATTCTAATATTTGATTCAAATGAGGTGAAATAATGGACTTTTTCTGTTGCAGTTTACAGAAGTAGATCTACCTTCAAATGGTTCCCTGAAAGTTTACGATGGGGAGGATCTGATGGCTCCCCTTGTTTTCTCAATAACTAAAACCCCAGAGCATCCCTTCTACATTTCCCAGAGCAAAACTGTACGAATTGTGTTATCAACCAATATACACGAATATGGAAAGTATCGTGGAGTTCAACTTAAATACAAAGAAGGTAATACATGAATATAAGATGTGAGGGATTAAGTTAAATTTCATTCTTGATTTCACATTGATCTCAGGAAACTTCTGGAAAAGCATAGGCACTTGCAAACATATTTTTCTTGTCAAATAAAATTACTCATCAAATAAAACACATATTTTTCTTTAAGTGCTCATGAAAGTTTATGAAAAGAATTCTTCTAGATTATGAAATGATTGTTTTGCAGGTGTTTAAGTTCTTTGTCATTTTATGGAGATATATCATTACAACTGAAAAGGCAAATCCTGGACAGGGATTGATTTTAATTAGGGCTGGGACGATATGTTGAGATATCGATATATAGTGATATATGGTAGGACGATACACAATACTTTTGAAAAAATATCGAAATATCACCCAAAAAATCTGACTTCTCTTTTTCTTTGTTTTTTTTAAAGAATTTGGGGTTTGATATATAAAATAAATAAGTTAAATATAAATATAGATATGAAATAAATAATAATTAACACCTTTTGAGTAAAATATTTTTGTTTTACAACATATAAACAACTATTTTGAATAAATTTTTCTTATTTGCAAAAAATAATTTGTTTATTTCAATGCAAAAAAAGATTTTATAAGCAATTAAACATATCTTGATACATATCATATTGTGGCTCAAATATCGTGATATGTATCGATATAGAAAAAGTTTTAAAATGGGTCCACCTACTTCATTTCAAAGAATGAACAGAAAATTTTCTTAAAAGGTCTTAGTTCTTGCAAACTAAGAGATTACAAATTGTCTTTTTTTTGCAAGCATTTAATCAAATCATTTTTTGAAAGATATAGTATCATAATGCAGTGGTGTTTGCAAACAAATTGAGTAACGTGAGTTATATCTTTCAAAATTATGATTCATAGCTTATATTTACTTTTTTAAAAACTTTCTGCCTTGACTGCAAATATGATTTGTATTTTAAAACCCATGTTTTTTCCTTTGTGTAAGCGAGTTAATGGAAAAGCCAACGTAACAGCTTCTGGTCAATGTGAGCATAATTTTTGATTTTCGATTATGACGTTGCACTTCCTCGGCATTCAAAGAATGTGATGTCAAAATAAAATGCATGCTTTACCCCCTTTCCATGTTACCCTGTTTTGAATGCAATAATTAATTCACTTTATATGCAAAAAAACGTGTAATTAATGTAAATGTAAAGAAACAAATTTGATCAATCCATGGCCCCAAGTCAGGTATGAACTGATGAAGTTAAAAAGAATCATTAAAAATGGCTTTCTCAAGAATGGACTTCAGACAGTGAAACCTTGAAGTCAGTTTTGAAGTGCAAAATCAAATCTGGTCTGGAGGAGGATTAAAACCTGGTGCTGTCATTAAGGCCATGCAATACAATTATCAATACAGTAAACATGCTTATAATGAAGTGCCAGGGACAGACAATTGAGCTTCATTATAAAAGTAATCTGTTAGGGCCTGCTATACAGACACCCTGTAGTGATAGGTCTGTCCATCCATCTGTCCATTCGAGATCTCCCAAGCATATCTTCTGTCTCCTTGGTTCAATCTGGCTCATACATCAACCAAAGAATGCCTTTGGGAAAAGGGTGTGCAGTGACCTTAAACCATGTGTCAGGTCTAAAGTCAAGATCATAGGAGAAATATATGAAAAATCCTTATCCAGAGCATATCTTCTCTCCCCTTGGTCCAATGTGGCTCTACTTCATTCACAGACTTCCACTGGTCAATGGATATGCAGTGACTTTGAACAAAGTTTATAGGTCTAAGATCAAGGTCATAGCAAAATTATGACGGGTGTGACTGGTTGGGAGGGGATGCTCACTCCTGTATGGCACCTGATCCCACCTATGATGTTTTGGAGGTCTGTGTTTGCTCTGCTCCTGCTTTGTATTGTTTTATGGACTTTTGATCTTGAATACTGTTGGTTATCTCCATATCCTTCATATGAAAAATCCTGGTTATCTTCTCTTCCTTTAGTCATATGTAGATCATACTTCACCCAGAGTACCTTTGGGTAAAGGGTGTGCAGTGACCTTGAACCATGTTTATAGGTCTAAGATCAACATCATAGCAGAATTTTATGAAAAATCCATGTCTGGAGCATATCTTCTCCCCCCTTGGTCCAATTTGGCTCTGCTTCATTCACAGAGTGCCACTGGTCAGTAGATATGCAGTGACTTTGAACAAAGTTTATAGGTCTAAGATCAAGGTCATAGCAGAATTTTATAAAAAATCTTGTCCAGAGCATATCTTCTTTCCCCTGGGTCCAATGTGGCTCATACTTCACTCACAGAGTGCCACTGGTTATTGTATGTGCTCTGACCTTGAACAAAGTTTCTAGGTCAAGGTTTGAGGCCAAAATCTGTTTAAATTCTCAGCATATCTACTCTCTCCTTGGCCCAATCTGGCTCATACTTCACCCACAGAGTGCTTTTGGGTAAAGGGTGTTCAGTGACCTTGAACCATGTTTCTAGGTCTAAGGTCAAGGTCAGAGCAGAATGATATGAAAAATCCTTGTCCAGAGCATATCTTCTCTTCCCTTGGTCCCTTCACTCACAGAGTGGCACTGGTCAATGCATGGGTATGCAGTGACTTTGACCAAAGTTCCTAGCTCAAGGGTCAAGGTCAAAAATAGCTTCTCTGTTTAAAATCCTTGCAGTCTTCACGAAAACTCACTAGCCCGACGCCCGAGGCTTGTAAAAATTGGTCTGGGCTAGTAAAAATTGTTTCAGAAGTAGCCCGACTGGCTAGTGAAAAGTAAGCAGGTACTTTCAGAGTTTTTGCTTTTAAATCTTAACCAATAAATAAAATCAAAGCACTGTAGTCTTATTCTTCAGAAAACTGCCTCATCTAACTCACGTAGCACAGTAGCACTACATAATAGTTTATTTTTCCATAAAAACGATCGTCTTTTTTCTCTAATCCGAATTTCCTCTGTTCGATCTTTTACGGTAAATACATGCAGAAATCCCATTGAATTAGGCCTAACTATGATTACTCATTTAGTTGAAGAGTTAAGGATAACATGAGTTAATTATGTTAACTGTTATCCAAATTTATATTATAACAATGTATCTGAAAATTTAATATAAAAAAAAATCACTTCTTTTGAAAAGAAGTGTAATGACCTGAAAAGGGGCTAATGTACAATACATGTACATTATCAAAAAGCTTAAAAAAAAGAAACTTTTTTGTTCAAATAAATTTAATCTTTATTAATGATAACTTATTTATTTATGATTCAAATGAGGGGAAAAACAAAATAATTAAGCAGAAGAAATACAAAAGAAAAGAAATTCAGTATGAAATTTAAATGGAATAGAGTGATACAACAGTATTTCATTTCTTTTGTTTTTTTTCGTTGGCTATTAAAAATTTCTTTGGGCTAGTAATACTGTCAAATCCACTAGCCCTACTGGCTAGTGTCTCAGAAAAGTTATCGTGAAGACTGTCCTTGGTTGATGCATAATTTCTTTCCCTTAAGTCTAGTCAGCCTCAAGCTTTACCAATTGACTATGGAACATTTGTGATCTTCCTTTCATATGTTGATTGAGGATATGCAACATTCATGATTTTCGTGCTGTTTTTTGATAGAGAGTATTGAGCACTTGTAATTTTGTGCCATTTTTTCATATTCCATTTCATCATACAAGTACTTTTATAAACATTTTAATTTTATTTTTTTAGAGAGTAGTTTTTTTTTGCCCCCCCCCCCCTTTAGACTCCAACAACACATCCCTTAATAGTAATATTCCTCTACAGAATAATGCCTTTTCAGCTACCTTACATTTTCATGTTCTTTGCTGAAAGTTGGGCCCTTTGATATGGCCACCATCTCAGTGATATCAAGTTATATCTGTTAGTTAACAATATATTTAAAATTCACAGGAAATGAAAATCACTGCACCTTTAAAAGTTTCAATTCATTAAAATCATGTTTGCTATTAGCATGTTTTACTGTATGTTAATGATTTTCAGGCTGTATGTTGGATTTGACACAGCAGGGGAAAATCTACTCACCTGGCTACCAGATTAACAGCTATCCCTCCAATGTCACCTGTACTTGGCATATTCACAAAAAGAATGGAGAAACTAGACCTATTTCTCTTCGTTTCACAGATTTCAAATTGAAGAGTAATTCTGATTATGTAGAGGTACGTCTCAGTAAATTCTGAAAGTTATGAAAGTTTACCTTCCCCATTGGAGCATAATCCATTGTCTATTGGCATGATCAGTGTCTTGTTAAAATTTTTACAATTTCATCCTCTCCAAATCCATTGGAAAAAATTCAACCAAATTTAGTGCAGATATCCTTAGTTGAAGGCAATTCTAATTAATCTCTTCCCCTCACAAGCACATCTACACCTTATAGCTATGATTTCCACATGAGCACCTCTAGACACCCTATCATGATTTACAAATGTCTTTAAAAGCAAATACTGTATGCAGGGAAATTTTCGCCCCTTTTTTATTTTCGCCCATTTCATTTGGATGAATTTAGAATGGGGCAAAGTTGAGATTGAATCAATATTATTGATCTTCAGAAATAAAGTGTGTTTACTGTCATCAATTCTTGTGTACCTATAAATAAAGACAGTTTTTATTTCTCCTTAGCCGAAGGCTCAAGTGAGCTTTTCTGATCACATTTCGACCGTTGTCTGTCTATCCGTCTGTTTAGCTGTCCGTCCGTCTGTAAACTTTTCAAACTTCTTCTCAAGAACCACTGGGCCAATTTTAACCAAACTTGGTACAAAGCATCTTTGGGTGAAGGAAAATTTAAATTGTTAAAATGAAGGGCCAAGTCCCCTCGAAAGAGGAGATAAATGACCCTCGGGGGTATGGCGGGGCCACGATAGGGAATCAAAGTTTTACAAGGAAATATATAGGAAAAAAAAATTTATAAAAATTCTTCTTCGCAGAAACCACAGGGCCAGAAAAGCTGAAACTTATATGGAGATATCTTGGGGTTGTTAATATTCTAATTTGTTCAAATCATGACCCACAGGGGTAGGGTGGGGCCACAGTAGGGAACCTAAGTTCTACAGTAAAATATATAGAATTAAAAAAAAGAAAATCTTCTTTTCAAGTACTACTTGGCCAGAAAAGTTTAAACTTATGTGAAGGCATCCTTGGGAATCGTATATTCTAAATTGTTCAAATCATGACACCTGGGGGTAGGGCAGGGCCACAATTTGGAATCCATGTTGTACACTGAACAAATCTTTTAAAAATCTTCTTCCAAGGAACTACTGGGCCAGAAAAGCTGCAACATAGGAGAAAGCATCCTGGGGTAGTGTAGATTTTATATTGTCCAAATTATGACCCATGGGGTAGGGTGGGGTCACAATAGGTATAACAAGGGGGAAATCTGGTAAAGAACAGCATGGTCAAAGCTACTCAGGTAATTGATGTGGCCCATGGGCCTCTTGTACCTTATATGGTAGAAAAACGTATTGTTCATTCAAAATGGTTTGAGATTGTAGATACATTTTATGCCTTTTAGGATACATGTACTGAATTGGTACATATATAAAAAAGAATTGACTTGTTGAGAAAAATTTAAATTGGATCTAAATTTAAATGACCAGAATAATCATCTTTCATATCGTACAAGTTGATCCATGAGTGAAAGGTACATGGCCGATAACTCCAAGATCAAGGTGAAAGCCTGAAAGGGTCAAAATTGTTGGTACCTAAGGGATAATAAATTGAAATGAACAGAATATCTTCATCATTTCATAGGGTATGAGTTGATCCCAATTTGAAAGTCACATTGCCTGTATTCCAGGGCCAATACATGTAACTCCAAAGTCAAAGGAAAAATTTCTGGCTACTCAAAGGATGGATTTGTCACAATTTACGAAATAAACCTTAGAAGTATGAAAACTGTAGTGCCATTCATTCAAAAGTTATGACCAAGATTAAAGTTTATTGAAAGTAGGTTATAATCAATGGTCAGGGTCAAAATAGTTTACGTCAAGTATTCCAGGGACTGACTTGTCACAAGAAACATACCTGTGAAAAATTAAAGACATTGCACCAACCATTCAAAACTTGTGGCAAGGCCGGTTTAAGTTTTTCAAATGAAGGTCAAACTCCAAGTCAAGGTCAAAGAGTCAAAATCATATCGGAAAGTTAATTTTATTCCTGTGCTAGAAATTTTTGTGAAGTTCATGAGAGCCTTGTCATCGTGAGTATATCTTGCCCCGAACCGGTCCTTAAAGTTTTTGTGTCTATTTACAACAGATTCAATAAAGACTTGATCGTGAAAATTAATCGTCTTGAACTAGTTTAACCCTGGTAAATCGCGAAATAAAGTCGTCACAAATGAAAGTTTGTTTACAGTATACTGTATATGTATTTTATTTGGCATGTATGATATTTACCAGAAATTGAATTTTTAAAAGGTTAGCGTAAATTTGAATTAGCGCTTTCTGATTGTGCCTTATATGAATATATGTAAATTTATACGACATTTAGTGATGTACTTCATTGGTGGAAGATGCTTTCGGGAAAGGCACCAAATAGAATACACATCTAAATATAATATGTTTACAATGTGTTAAATATGAAGACCCTAGCACCATCTGTTCAAAAGTTGAGGCAATTTTTATTTTCAAAAATAGGTCAAACTTCAAGGTCAAGGTTAAAGGGTCAAAATTGTTGGAACTCAAGGGAAGCACTTCTTGCATGAACCTGGTCGTCTCCATTCAGCTGCAGTTTTTAACTTGTACTAGAAGACATTTCTCTTAATCTGTGTTTGAATAGACAATACATATGCATAATCAAATAATGGACTAAATTTCGTTTTGCTGTCACAAAGTGTCTCCGATTCCTGTGAATGGCGTTTTCTCTTAGAAATGTCTTTAGTTTTATAAAATTACAGTTAAAAAAATTCTTGATAAAGGTCGTATTAAAAAGCAATCAGCCAAACAAAACACTTAGTTTGATATCTCCTAATTACCATGTAATTATCACAAGAATATTTCACACCCTCGTTCATGATGTTTTGTTTACATTAATCAAGCGCAGTAAGTCACGCATAGTTTGAGATTTCTGGTGTTGCAAGAGTGGGAATGAGAGAAAAGGGTGGTTTCCGGTAAACATTTCAAAATACTGCAAACATTTTCATTTCCCGTGAATTTTGGTGTACCGCCGTGAGCTCGTGAATGAGGTCAAAAATCCATGACATTTTGTGTAAGACCGGTACATATCACATGTATGATAATGATAGGGCCATTTTATGGAGTTAATGAAGCTACCTCTTTAAAAAATGTCATTTGAGATTTGAATTTGAAGCCCTTAATTTTTAAACCAAACATTACTTACTTTACATATCCTCTTCAACCCTGATGGGACATAAGGCTTCAACAAGCTGTCTCCATCTTCCTCTATCCTTTGCCACATACTGTGCCTGCCACCACAAGTAGCCCATTTCCTCTAACGCTGATGTTATGGTTCTCCTCCATGTTGTTCGTGGTTTACTTGCTTCCTCTTTCCAGATAGTGTCCAGTGTAAGGCTGTTTTGGGTATCCTGCTCTGGGGCATTCTCATCATGTGTCCCAGCCATCTCATTCTTCTTTGCTTGCTTTCTGTTGTTATACTCCTGCTTTTGCTTTCCTTGTGCAAGTCTCTGTTAGAGATCTTGTTTGGCCAGAAAATACGGTGGATTTTTCGAAAACAGAATGTCATTTGAGATGGGAATTTGAAGTCCTTAAACCATTTTTAAACCAAACATAGAGACCTGATAATCAATTTCTTATGATGCAATAAAAACTGAATAAAAGGCATGCCATGGTGACATGTATGAAAAAGCTTAATAAACTCAATCAAGTTGACTCTCAGGCCCTTCAGGCCTTTGATTTTTATCATCTTCCATATGGAATATTGATTTTGATAAGTGCCTTTCTTTCTACAGCTTTAGAATTGTAGAAGACACTTTGAAATAATTCATTATATTGGACTAGGTTATTGCATAGATCTGCTTATTTGAAAATTGTTTAAAGAATTTTAAAGGTCAATATTATCAAAATCAGAATTTTTAGTTGTTCAATCCATTGTCTTAGATAAGCCTTTTGTATAAAATTTAGATGCCTGTTTAAGTTCTGTTGGTCAAAAACCAGAAAAGATGTATAATCTTGCATTATAATGAAATTTAATTATAAAATTGTAGATCTACAATGATACAGCAGGAACTGCATTGCATAGTGGAAGTGGATTAACTGGGATTAATACTGTCTCAAATACAGAAATATTTAGTTCAACTCATGGTCACCTCAATGTGACCTTTAAATCCAACCTTGTGCTTGTGGAAAAGGGATTCAGTGCTGATTTTTCTGTTGGTAAGACAAGTGTTTAGCAGCATGAGAAAAGATTATCAATGATCTTAAAACGCACAAAAAAAATGAAAAAGAAAACACGAAGTCTCTCCATTTTTTTAAGCTGCAAATCCAAAATGTTTCCAACCAAGTGTTCCTAGCATATTCCTTTGTAAAATTTAACTATGATGTAAGCAACATCTGTCTCATTGTTTTTCTTGATGAAATCTAGTTTTGAGTAAAAAAAAAATAACACAACTAAAAAGTTTATAAATTTATGATAAAAATTGAATTATATAGATTGCCCGATGTTAACCCTATCTCAGTGGACAGTGAATTCAGTATCTGGAAAGTACACAGCTCTGAATACAGTGATAACTCTGTCCTGTCAGATAGGCTACTCATTTAAACAAGAGGAATACAACAAGGAAAGCTCTGTGTCTCTGAAATGTTTACCCGGAGGAATGTGGAATGTTTCCAGGATTCCTGATTGTCAGAGTAAGTTTTAGTTTAACTTTGTTATATATTGTACTACATTTATACTATAAAGTAGCATGTATATAGTGCACAGTTTTTTAAAGCTTTTATTCTGAACAAGCTAATTCAGAGAATTTGTGTCTCCCACCTATGGAAGAAGGAAAAGTTTATGCTGATCTAGGAGGGAGTATGGGGAGGGGGAACAAAACACTTTAAGAGGAGCAGGATTTTGGTATAAAATTTCCTTGAAGAAGCTCTAAAGCTTCTTAGATATCACTTGTAATTGAAACTTTTACACACAAACAGAATGTATGAATTCATGACCCTTACCTTTGATCTTTTCACCCCCAAATTAATTGGGGGCTTTCTTAGGCCATCAGCCATTGGGGACAAAAAGTACTTTAAGGAAGATGTACTCAAGTTGCTAGAGTAAAAGTATACAAAGTTAATGTTAAAAATTAATTTATATGTGGAAAATGTGATGATCAATTTAAATGAAAAAAGATTTGAAATTTTAAGAATTTATTTTATTTGCTTGTTAACCTTCTGAGATACAGTGAAATCTGTCTAATCCAACATGCACTGAGACAAAATTTAAAAGTGGAAAAGATTGGGTGTCGGATTGCACAGAGTAAAGAACATAGACAGCAGTATCGGTAAATGGGAATTTAAATAAGGATTGGAATTCACAAAACTAATTGCACTGTTGTTGGATTAGACAGTTTTTAATTCATATAACTTTCCACATGTTTATAGTACACATATAAAATAGTTCATGGCTCTTCAATGCAACAATTTTTGAATTGCAGTTACTTACTGTGGCACCCCACCTGCAATCCAGAATGGAATATTGAAAAATGCAACTGGTCCCAGATTTGGAGACAATGCAACGTATGAATGTAATGGGGGCTTCACAATGAATGTTTCTCCCACCAAAAAATGTCAGGCAAATGGAATGTGGGAGACGCCACCTGTATGCAATGGTAAGTAAAGAATGTTGGATCTCTGCAAACATTTATGCACAACTTGCTAGCAGATGGTTTTTTCTCAAATATTTGTTGCTCAGCCTTTAATCTACTATGGATACGTAGAAGATAACAATTTTATTCTGGCTGACATGATGCCCAGTATAAAAAGTCTCGGTTTGGTTATTTTCAATACGATACATTTTTGATAAAAGGAAACAAATTTAACCATTGTTTTATGCTTCCTTTTACTAAATCTAGTCAAATAATTTATGTGCAAATCAGATAGAAAAAATCAATTTAATTGATATGACTCTTAAAAAATATTTTACAAACTAAAAATCAACAAAATTTTTTTTTTTGAACTAATAATACAGAGGAACATGTTTATACATTATGCCAAACCCGACTGAATGACAATCCGACTGAAAAAATGAACCGAACCAAAATAGAGATTTTGTACCGTGTATCAAACTGAGAAAAAATACCGCGGTGAACCGTTTCTCTCCTAATCAGCTGACAAAGTTTGATGACTCTTAATTGATTAGGACCTGAGACATTCAAATATAAACATAAAATTTTAAAAGTAAGTCATAGTGACCTACTTTTTCTTAAACATATTCTGAGGACCCAAGATACATAAATTGACAAAGTTTGATGATTCTAAGCCAATTAGGACCTGAAATATTTAAATGTAGCCATAACATTTCAAGAAAATATCTAAATATTTCAATTTTTACAGTCGTAAAACTTTGTTAATTGATGCATCTTGGGTCATTGGAGTATGTTTACCAAAATGTAGGTCGCTGTGACCTACTTTTAGAATCTATCTGAATATTTAGGAAAGAAAAGGGGTTTCCAAACATCACACTTTGTCATTTGACTGATTTTGGGTTCTTTGAGGTTTTTACCAAAATGTAGGTCATGATGACCTACTTTAGAATTTCTAGGCTTTATCTAAATATTATCTAAATAAACAGGATATTAAGAGGCTTCAAATATAAGTGATAGGTTGTACAATGTATCAGAAATGGGGATTCAAAGTCCTTGAGCCTCTTGGTGATTTTGCCATGGTAACAAAATATGGAATTTCAAATGTGAAATACATTCTAAATGCTACTTACAGTTTTGGTCTGATTTCAAAATAGCTTGTCACAACAGTGCACTACACTAAGATACACAAGTGTCTTAACTGGTTTTTAATTTCAATGAATTAATTTTAGCTCAACAATGCTCACAAGTAAGTCCCCCAGCCAATGGACAATTAAATGTGACTGCTGGGAGTGGTACAGATTATGCCTCTGTTCTGATGTTCAGCTGCGATCCTGGATATGACCTTTTAGGGTCTGTGTATGTCCACTGCAGGTCAAATGGCACATGGTCACATCTTGCTCCAACTTGCCAAAGTAAGAAATTTATAAAAAAAAAAAAAATGCTTACAGAGAAATACATAATCATACATGTTAGTCACTGAAATTATCTTCCATGAACATTTGATACTGTAAGTAGTGAAATTTTGTTTATGAAATTTTGATTTCTTAGTAAAAACTTTCTATTCATGATGAATAGTGTACTGTACTTCAACACAGTAAACATAATTGTAGAAGAAATTGGAAATGTGCCTTTTGTTTGTTGGATGTGTCTCAAATTACATGTACATGCATTAATAATTTCAGAGATAAAGTGCCTGATACCACAGGTGATGTATGGTAAGGTTGAAGCAGCTGGTGACGTGGAATTTGAAATGACAGCCAAACTGAAGTGTGATACTGGATTTATTGTGAATGGTACCAGCAGTAGTGAAAAAGATGTTACATGTGGGAAAGATGGACAATTTTCAGATTTAGATCCATGCATCAGTATGTTTACCCTTGACAATTACTGTTATTAAATACCACTAGCAGTTTATTTTTCTTGAGAATTCAATTAATGAAAATTGTTAAAAAGTAATGCAAGTATTAAAAAAAACCTTGACACTTTGTAGTTTTTGTTCCAAGAACAGCAAGGCTTGGTCATTTTGTTAAGGAAGAATTCTTCTAACATATAATATATCCCCAAAATATGGCAAAATATTTGAAAACTTCTTTATTGAGATTAAATTGAAGTAAGTTCAGATGCCTTTATTATAATTTGAAAATGGTTAGTATTAATTGATTCTTTTGTTGTAGATGACGATGAGTGCTCTAGAAATTCATGTCGATCCGTTAGTAATACAGAGTGTATAGATACCATTGGCTCTTACGTATGTAAATGTAACAGTGGTTTTGGGAGATCTGGAGATTCAGGAAATTGTGATGGTATTAAATTTTTGTATCTCTGTTTTCTAACAGCTGGGGATATTAAATAAGTTCTGTCTCCATCTAACTAGCAGTCCATTTGCCCATTTGTCTGTCTGCCAGGCAGTTTGGTTCTTGAAACAGACAGTTCAAAATGCATGTAGCCTTCGAAGCAAGTCAGTAATTGTATATTGTCTCCTATTTTAATAGGTTAATGTTATATATATATATATTATAAAGTATATTATAAAGTTATGGAACGGGTACTAGGGAAATAGCAAATTTATGGTTCCCTGAGGGAGGAAACCATTTCCTCAGAGGTGGCGAATACATGTACTTCTACTTTGTCATGTATTTATGTATAATCTTCAAATAAATAAATGATACAATGTATCTAGACTTTGTTCAACAATATTTGTTGGAAATATATATATAATAACAACATTTTGCCTTCCAAAAAAATACCAATCTCTTTATTTCCCAGAACTGAAAATATGGTACTAGTAACATTTTTAATTTTCATAAACAGATATAATTGAGTGTGATAATGGAAATGGAGGATGCAGTCAGAAGTGTAATAATTATGTTGGATTTTTCAATTGCTCTTGCAACACTGGCTATCAGTTATACACAGGACCAAATTTCAACAATATCAGCTTGGCAGAGGGAGAAACTGGGACAAGAGCAGGAGATAAAATTAGAATTAACTACACATGTGTTCGTAAGTAACTGTATTCTAAGAGGAAAAAATCTTTTGTTTGCTTCAGTCACCATACAAGAAGAAATTTTAGCGAAGTTTCAATCAAGGATGTTGTGATCCTAAAAGTGTATGAATGTTGCTAAAAAAATTATTCTGAAACATTGATAACCTTTAATTATGTTTCTATTCACAATAAAATCTCCAAAATTATTTCGTGCTGAAATTAATCACTGATTGGACAAATCACTAATTTTGCTTTTCTCTATAAAATATGCTGATATGATTAATCAATGTAGATAAATGAGATAATGCTAGGAAATGAATTATAACTTTGAAGAAAAGGCCAGGTATTTTGTCCCTAGTACTTTAATTAAGAATACAATGTACTTCATTATTACATAACGGGAGCAATAATATTATATATATAATTTCAGGAGCTCAGTGTCCAACACCCATGCCTCCTTTGAATGGAAAGATACTGAGCAACAAACAGTTGTTCTATTATGAAGATGAAATAACTGTTGAGTGTGACCATGGCTACTACCCAGATCCGCAGAGGACAACACTGAAATGTGGGGTAGAACAAGGTGTTGGGAAGTGGTCAACAGAAATGACAAATTGTACAAGTAAGTTCTGACATTTTAATGTGAGGATAGCTTAAAACAATGCCTAGTATCATTTTTATTTCGTTAAAAACCTTTGAAGTATTATACCATGAGGACACTAAGTTTTGAGGGAGTACCATTACTACCATAAACACCAGGTTTGTCAATTTTTTCATGTCAAATTTATCCGAGAAACATTTTGTTTTAGTCACTTAACACCTAAACCAAAGGTTCAAGTTTGTGACCAAAGGTGTGTCGATCATAAACCAAGGTTATTAAGACAAGATCAAAGTCTCGTATTGCAGCAGTATTAAATTATTAGTCTAGCCACAACTTGAAATCAGAGAGAAGTAAGAGGTTTGTTATTGAGACAGAGTGCATGTAACTTGAAAATATTGATAGTCTTCTGTATTAATAGGGTTAATACATTGTACAAGTATTATTTTGCATTTTGGACAAGGTAGAGGACAAAGGTGTTAGGAAAAATGAACATTTCTTGATTTACCATAGCTGTGAAGTGGAAAAAAAAGACAGATATTTTTTTCAGGAATGTTTTGAAGAAGAACTTACATGTGAGCTGTAATGTAAAATTATGTTCATCATCGTTTATAATTTTTATTTTTCTCTCTTTTACAGAGGGGACCTGTAAAATGCCAGATCTTACTTCAGATCCTAATTACAACAGAATCTTTCCAAATGATAGTACAACGGTAAATTTTGGGACCCCTGTCATTATTGAGTGCAGATATGGGACACAATTTAGAAACTTGTCCTTATATTGTGGAGAAAATGCACCATCAAATTACAGTCTCCTGGGAGATAATTTGAACTGTCCAGGTAAAAACAGTAATACATGTCAAAAATTAAGTAAAAATAGGTTAATTATTATTGAACAAACAACGTGTTATTTGTAAGTTATTTACCCATTTGTGCCTTGAGAAAAAGTTCATGCTGTGGTGAGAAATAGAAATGAAAAGATTCGCTGAGTGCTTTATCAATTCACCAGGATTTTTTATTCAGTTTGAAATGTTGTTAAAATATCTCCAATTTTAGTTCAGTTCATTTTTATTTAATTAGAATTAATATTAAATCAGGTTTGGCAGCATTTGAATAGCATGGGGGGGGGGGGGGTTTAAGTGTTTCATAAACAACTTGTTTATTTTTTTCATTAATGCATGCAGGGATCATATCTAAACTCTTTGCTAACAGTACTTAAATATGCCAATATCTTTAAAATTCAAAATGTTGCAATTTCATAAAGTTTGTTTTTCTATAGTTTTACTTTCGTAGGAATCTTTATTATAGGAAATGAAAGCACCAAGTCTATACAGTCAATTCTCGAATTATCGCCATTCGATTCATCGCCATTTTCGCGATACCGCCAAGATTTCCTAAGAACATTTTTCCTGCTATGTGAAATTCTCTTTATAACGCCAAATTCGCATACCGCCACCCTGTTTTCACAACAAACGTCAATTTTTGAGTGTCAATTGTCTCGATATACCGCCACAGGTGCGTGTGGTCAGTGAAGCGCGGCTAATTGGTTGACACTATCCCTGTTGTAAAGTACACAAAGACAGACAAGGTACATGCAATTTTAAAGTAATTAAACAAGAACTAAATAAACAATAATTTTAACATGAACCGTTATAATAATCTTGTTTTCTGTTTAATAAAAATCATTTTGAAAACGGGGTCGTTGTTGAAGTACGCCGATAACTAAATAACTATATTATTTAGATGATCTCTGAATTAAACAATGCACAGTTTGTTGAAAAAATAATGTACGGTATAAATTAGGAAAGTTTGATTAACAATGTTGCCGTAAACAATAAATTTATTCAAGAATTCATTTTACTTACTATCGGCAATATTTCAGGACGATCGACCCAGCATGTTTTTTTTTTCAATAGATTTAAATGCACCCACATGTACAAGTAGTTTGTCTTTATTTCATAACTGCACATTTTGTTTTAAATAGCGAATTTTTACATAAAAAAATTACTTGAAGTATTTTCAATCAGAAATATGTTTATATGTACATGTAATAATAAGAATAGAAATGGTAACTTTACTTCTTGTTTTCCAGCAGATAGGAAATTCAATTCATCGCCAAATTCGTTATACCGCCATGATTTCTAAATTACAAAAGGTGGCAGTTTATCGAGAATTAGCTGTACTTTATTTCAATGTTTGAAGTATGAAAAGGTTAATTGGTAAATGCATGGACAGGGTCAATTTATGGATAAATTGAACCTAGCTCTTTTTCAATACATGTACATTTATAACTTGTAGAATAAGATGCTTTGTATTTTTTTATTTATTTTCTTTTTGATTTGCTTCAGTGATTGACTGTGGGGTGCCAGAGCAAGTTCCAGGTGCTGATGCGTACAGCTACTCTGATTCACTTTTTGGCAGTTCATTTAATTTTAGCTGTCAGAATGGTTCAACGCTCAGTGGAAAGTCAGTAGATGGGGACTATACTGTCAGATGTCAGGAGAATAGACAGTGGGGTTTTGGAAATCTCACATGTACAGGTGGGTGATGGTTGTATTAACCCTGATTATTGTTATACCCCCGCTCCGAAGGAGAGGGGGGTATACTGTTTTACCCTTGTGTGTCTGTCTGTCCGTGTGTCCGTGTGTCTGTGCGTCCGTGTGTCCGTCCGTAACAAATTTTCGTTGCAGTTTTCTCAGCAACTACTCATCGCAGATGCTTGAAATATTAACACAATCTTCTCTGAGGCATGCCATATGGTGGGATACATTTTTGCTCAAATCTGATATCAACTTCCTGTTTGTCGATGCGTCTGTCCGTTTCATACATAACAAAGTTTCGTCGCAGTTTTCTCAGCAACTATTCATCGTAGCTGATTGAAATTTTAACACAATCTTCTCTTAGGCATGCCATATGGTGGGATACATTTTTGCTCAAATCCTATGTCAACTTCCTGTTTGTCTGTGTGTTTGTCCGTTTTTAGGTCACCTGAGTAAACTCAGGTGACCTATTGCTATCCGTTTTCGTCCGTCGTCGTCCGTCGTGTGTCGTGTGTTGTGTGTCGTGTGTCGTGTGTCGTGTGTTAACATTTGAACATTTTCAGCTTCTTCTCTGCAACCACTGAACCAATTTCAACCAAATTTGGCACAAAGCATCTATGGGTGAAGGGGAACGAAAATTGTGAATTTCATGATCCCTGCCCCCCTGGGGCCTGAGGGGTGGGGCCAAAACCACTAAAATTAATGCAATCTTTAAAAATCTTCTTCTTTACTCCTGGACATCAAGCAGTCAAACTATTTGCATGATTGTAATCAGCATTGAGTCCTCTACCAAAATTGTGAAATTCATGGCCCTGGGGTCAGGGGTTCTAGTGCTAGGGCGGGGCTAAATAAGTATATAGTGAAAATGCATTATTTCTTTGAAAATCTTCTTCTCTGCTCCTGGGTATTAAATAAACCAACTAAGTACATAGTTATGATGAGCAAGAGTGCCTCTACCAAAATTGTGAATTTTATGGCCCCAGGGTCAGGGGTTCTGGTGTTAGGGTGGGGCTCTATTGATTATATAGTAAAAATACATGATTTCTTTGAAAATCTTCTTCTCTGCCCCTGGGTATTAAATAAACCAAGTAAGTAAATAATTATGATGAGCAAGAGTGCCTCTACCAAAATTGTGAATTTTATGGCCCCAGGGTCAAGGGTTCTGGTGTTGGGGGGGGGGGGGGGGGGGCTCTATTGATTATATAGTGAAATTACATGAATTCTTTGAAAATCTTCTTCTCTGCTCCTAGGTATTAAATAAACTAACTAAGTGCATAGTTATGATGAGCAAGAGTGTCTCTACAAAAATTGTGAATTTTATGGCCCCAGCATCAATGGTTCTGGTGTGGGGGGGGGGACTCTATTGTTTATAAAGTGAAAATACATGAATTCTTTGAAAATCTTCTTCTCTGCTCCTAGGTATTAAATAAACTAACTAAGTGCATAGTTATGATGAGCAAGTTTGCCTCAACCAAAATTGTGAATTTAATGGCCCTATCATCAAGGGTTCTGGTGTTGGGGGTGGGGGGGGGGGGGCTCTATTGATTATATAGTGAAATTACATGAATTCTTTGAAAATCTTCTTCTCTGCTCCTAGGTATTAAATAAATCAACTAAGTGCATAGTGATGATGAGCAAGAGTGCCTCAACCAAAATTGTGAATTTTATGGCCCCAGGGTCAAGGGTTATGGTGTTGGGGGGGGGCTCTATTGATCATATGGTGAAAATACATGAATTCTTTGAAAATCTTCTTCTCTGCTCCTAGGTATTAAATAAACTAACTAAGTGCATAGTTATGATGAGCAAGAGTGCCTATACAAAAATTTTGAATTTTATGGCCCCAGCGTCAATGGTTCTGGTGGGGGGGGGCTTTATTGATTATATAGTGAAAATACATGAATTCTTTGAAAATCTTCTTCTCTGCTCCTAGGTATTAAATAAACTAAGTAAGTGCATAGTTATGATGAGCAAGAATGCCTCTTCTAAAATTTTGAATTTCATTGCCCCAGGGTCTGGGGTTCTGGTGTTAGGGTGGGGCTCTATTGATTATATAGTGAAAATACATTGTACATTAAATCTTTGAAAATTTTCTTCTCTGTCTCTGGGTATGAAGCAGATGAACTACCTATATAGTTATGATGAGCAAGGGCCCTAATCTTGCAGAATTGTGAATTTCAAGGCCCCAGGGTCAGGGGGGGGGGGGGGGGCTCTACTTATATACTGAAAATGAATTAATTGTTTGAAATCTGGTCCTTTGTATTTATAAAACATTTATTTACTTTTTGATAGGCAATTTTAAGGGTGCCTTTTAAAAATTTGTGCAACCTAGGGTCAGGGGTTTATGTGAGAGTGTTAGGGGCACTACTGATTATTGATTAATATTACTGATTAGTTGGAGTGCATTTTTGTTCCCCTACCCTGCTTATGGTTATTCAGTAACCAAGCTAAGCAACTGCTAAGTTTATTGTTATGATGATCAATGGTGCCCTTTCAAAATTGTGAATGCCATATAGCATCTGGCTTAAAACATGAATCAAATTCAATACACTGTAACTGGAAAGTTGTTGCATAATGCTCAGGTGACCTATAAGGCCCGTGGGCCTCTTGTATACATAAAGCATTTTCGTCACAGTTTTCTCAGCAACTACTCATCGCAGATGCTTGAAATTTTAACACAATCTTCTCTGAGGCATGCCATATGGTGGGATACATTTTTGCTCAGATCCGATGTCAACTTCCTGTTTGTCTGTGCATCTGTCCGTTTCATACATAACAATTTTTCGTCGCAGTTTTCTCAGCAACTATTCATCGTAGCTGCTTGAAATTTTAACACAATCTTCTCTGAGGCATGCCATATGGTGGGATACATTTTTGCTCAAATCCTATGTCAACTTCCTGTTTGTCTGTGTGTTTGTCCATTTTATACATAACGAATTTTCGTCACAGTTTTCTCAGCAACTACTCATCGCAGATGCTTGAAATTCTAATACAATCTTCTCTGAGGCATGCCATATGGTGGGATACATTTTCGCTCAAATCCGATGTCAACTTCCTGTTTGTCTGTGCGTCTTTCTGTTTCATACATAACAAATTTTCGTCGCAGTTTTCTCTGCAACTACTCATTGTAGATGCTTGAAATTTTAACACAATCTTCTCTAAGGTATGCCATATGTTGAGATACATTTTTGTTCCAATCGGATATCAACTTCCTGTTTGTCTGTGCGTCTGTCCGTTTCATACATAACAAATCTTAGTTGCAGTTTTCTCATTAGCTATTCATAGCAGATACTTAAAATTTTATTACACTCTTTGTTGAGGCATGCCATATGGTGGAATTAATTTTCATATGAATCTGATGTCAACTTCATATTTTTCTGTGCATCTGCCTGTAATTGAACTTGTGTATATTAGCATGATAGTGCTCATTTACATCAGAGCGGGGGTATTACTAGTGAGCATTGGCTCACAGATTTCTTGTTAAATTTTCTTTTTACCTTAAATGTGAGATGACCTGTTTTTTTCCATTGATTGTATTTTAGACATCTTGAAACAAATCAATTTATCAAGTTTGATATTATTTTGAAATTTAAAGAAATCTACAGAGTCTATTTTGGCCATTGATGTCAAGTCTATGAGGGACATAGTTGCCAACTCACCCGATTTCGTCGGGTCACACCCGATTTTTCAACCCGTAACCCGATTATTTTTTCATGCTTATCACCCAATTTTTGCCGAACAACCTGAAAATCTCCCGATTTCCGGATTTGGTTCGAAAATTAGATTGCACTTTTAACTTCCAGTTACAACCCAAGCTTAGATCTACATAAACAATGCCGATGGATTAATTATCAGTGCAGGTGTAAACAATTAACTAGGTGTTGTTTTGACAAATCAATGTTTGAAGTCAATTAAAATGGCTTCCGATAGAACTAGATTGTTATCAGGGCCAACAGGAACAAATTGAACAAAACACATGTCTCTGATTGAACCAAGAAAAAGAGAATCGATATTTATGTATGGTACATATCAAGGAATCTTGGAAAAAAATTTCATTAAAGATAAAATAAAGTGATCGAAGACAGTGTAGGCCTAACTTCACATTTAAAACATATTGCAGTAGTTAATTAATTAAGAGAGAGGAAAAATAACTTCAAATTTTAAATTGGTATATACTTTCAAATTTAGCAGAAACTAAAAAGGCTTTTAAAAAAATGCACTTACTTCAAGTCAATACTGAAATATGATACCTTCAATTCTCATTTTTAAAATGTAAATTAAATCAAATTATGTATGAATTTTTAGGTCACCTGAGTAAACTCCGGTGACCTATTGCTAACCGTTTTCGTCCGTCGTCGTCCGTCGTGCGTTAACATTTGAACATTTTCAGCTTCTTCTCTGCAACCACTGAACCAATTTCAACCAAATTTGGCACAAAGCATCTATGGGTGAAGGGGAACAAAAATTGTGAATTTCATGATCCCTGCCCCCTTGGGGCCTGAGGGGTGGGGCCAAAACCACTAAAATTAATGCAAACTTTAAAAATCTTCTTTACTCCTGGACATCAAGCAGTCAAAGTGTTTGCATGATTGTAATCAGCAATGAGTCCTCTACCAAAATTGTGAAATTCATGGCCCTGGGGTCAGGGGTTCTAGTGCTAGGGCGGGGCTAAATAAGTAGGTAGTGAAAATGCATTATTTCTTTGAAAATCTTCTCTGCTCCTGGGTATTAAATAAACCAACTAAGTACATAGTTATGATGAACAAGAGTGCCTCTACCAAAATTGTGAATTTTATGGCCCCAGGGTCAGGGTTCTGGTGTTAGGACGGGGCTCTATTGATTATATAGTGAAAATACATTAATTCTTTGAAAATCTTCTTCTCTGCTCCTGGGTATTAAATAAACTAACTAAGTACAGAGTTATGATGAGCAAGAGTGCCTCTACCAAAATTTTGAATTTTATGGCCCCAGGGTCAGGGGTTCTTGTTTTAGGGTGGGACTCTAATGATTATATAGTGAAATGCATGAATTCTTTGAACATCTTATCCTTTGCTCCTGGTTAAGATACTAATGATCTAATTACATATTTAAGGCCACGATTTATTTAATTTTCAATTTTACAAACCCTCCACTCAAGATTTAGAATTTTCAGAAAAAAAAATAAAACAATTTTTTTCTTTCCGATGTCAAATTTGAGTCGGGATCGAGATTTTAAGTTTACATACTCGCACTTCCGGTTTTAAGATGAAACGGCGGGTAAATAAAGCTCATGTAAATTTCATTGATACGAGTGCCATATTCAAAACGTTTCACCCGTTCAAAGGACAAATAAAATGCTGACGACTTTGTTGCACAATGACATGCTGGTGAGATTATTATGTATTCGTTTCAAAAGTATCTGTCTGTAAATTATTTTCCTCCCCAAGGTTTTAAACTGCCTGTGGTAGCTTTTGCATATTGCCAGCGACATTGTTTAGATCTCTGTTATAGCTTACAGTCTAAGCATCATTCTTCAGAAAAGGGTTGATTATGCAACAAATGTAATGAATAAAACTATGGGAGAAGTTAAGTCCATTTGAGGAAGAATTTTAGGCATCAAGTAAATTTTAGAACAATGTCTACACATTCACCTAACACAGATAAAAAATGAAGATATATTGAAAGACTTTTAAAGAATTGATTTTTAAAAATATATTTTGACCAACATCACAAAATTTATATAACTGGCCCAAACTGGCAGATGATGAAATAAGCAATTAAAGAGGCTGGGGGTGGCAGCCATTTTTAGACTATTTCAATCTCCTTTAAAAGGAGAGCTCCATATAAAGATATACAAAAATGATCAAATTTTAAAACTAAAATGTGTGAATTTTTTCTTTGTCAAATGATAGTTGACAGCTAAAGATACCGTATCTAAAAAAATAAGTTAAATCTGGTGGTTAATTTGGGATTAATTTGTTGACCCACCAGCCTCCTTAAATGTTCTACTTTCCTATTTGTAAGCATTATGTGTCCAGTGGTAAGGAGCCTTTTAGAATAGCATAAAAAATTGTACAAATGTTAATAATTGATTTATCAAATTTTTTTTTTAATTTCCTTCTCCTTCAGGACTTTTTTATTCTCATGTTCATAACTAAACCCTAACAAAAAAAGATGCTGGCTTTATAATGAAGAAAGGGGCCCTCTTTCAAAATAGATAATTTCAGGGCCACTGGGTCAGGGGTACCAGGGGGGTACTTTGACCAAAAATAAATTAATGCTTTGAAATCTGCCCTTTGATAAGTAATGGTGCCTCCTTCAAAATTTGTGAATTTCATGGCTTTTGGATTAAAACACGAACCAAATACAATCGCTGGAAAGTTGTTACATGATACTCAGGTGACCTATAAGGCCCGTGGGCCTCTTGTTTGTCTTAAATCCTTTTTCAATAAAAGAATTCATTCTCAATACACAAATACTTTGTATTAAATTTAATCATGGTTAATATGCTGTGAATGTCATTATGCGTTATGACCAGATTTTTTACTTTCCAAATCTGGTCATGACCAGATTTTTACATGCTGGAGGTTGGCAAGTATGATGAGGGAGTTATAATTATTTCCAAGAAAGCATGTTAATTTTAATAAATATGGAGCTGTAATTAACAGTAGATGTTAACATTTCTGAAGTACATAATAAATTTGTATAATTATGAAAATCATATAACCCTGTACATTAACAGGTGGGCGCTGCACAGACCCTGGTACACCAGGGGGAGCTGTACAGGTAGTGAGGAGTTACGAGGCTGGGGAGCTCCTCAGGTTTAGATGTACACGTCAAGGATATGAACCAATTCCTTCTGCTCCCCTTCTCTGTGTAGAGCAGGGGAGTAAAAATGCCACTTGGAATTCCACTGACTTACCTCTTTGCACAGGTAAGAGAATTGGCTTTTTTCTGCTTTTTGACTTAATGAAATATTTAAAATATACTTGGTTGTTACGCCTTATATATTTAGATGCAAAGGAATAAAAAGTCATATTTTTTTTCCTCCTCATATTTTTACAATGTACTTAAATTAGAAAAGGTAAACTGAATTTAAAATCTATGGTATTTTTTGCGGATAGCCAGCTTAATGCTTTTAACTCTCAGACGAAGTTAAGATGAGCTTATGCTATATCCCTGACATCAGCATTGGTGTTAAATTGGTGTCGCATAAGTTTTTTATAATCCATCTCTTATTTTTATATTTTTTTTCCTACAAATATCTATTGGGAAGTATAATGAACATGGCTGAATTCAATATCGTACCATCTAGCCTAGCTGCCAGGTTAGATATTTAGTTTACACCTGAACACATTGCCTAAATTAATTTAAGTTTTTTTGGATATAGATATACGAATATTGTTCAAGATTGTAGAAGCTATTTATATCTACATAGCCGGTGTGATCTTGAATGTAGCCCATGTAATATCAAGTTAAATTTGGAGGTTAAAGTTAGGTTAATGGCTGATATACTTCTTTTTCTTTTCCAGATGTTACACCACCAGAGTTTAATAACTGCCCTCAGACATTTTACATTGACAGTATGGAGGCTGTAAGTTTTGTTACACCCACTGCCACTGATAACTCTGGTCTGGTGAAGAATGTGACTGTGGATCCTCCCAATTTCAAAAATGGTACAGTGGTGTCCAGGGATTTAAATGTCACCTACACAGCAGTAGATAATGGAGGGAATACTGCAAGATGTTCAATCTCATTCATGATCAAAGGTATAGCCTGTGTACATTAAGTAAGCAGCTCAAATAAAAAAAATCTTTAAAAAAAGATGCTTTAAAGCCGCTTGGTCCGATTCTAATCGCTAAAAATATATATTCGATTTTCTTCTTGAAAAATAATTGTCCATAAATTGTTTCAACTTTTGTCAAATTATATCCCCAAAGCCTTTTTCCTTTAAAAGATATCAAAATTCAAAAGTTAAAAAAATAATTTTTGTTAGGTCACACAAAAAAATAATCCTATGTTGATCATTGTTGATATCGTGTGAAATCACCTTCAAAAATTAAATTTATCGCTTACACGTTTATCTCATGAAGAACGAACCCGAGCATTTTTTTCACAACTAAGTACATTTAAAACATTGCTGTGACGTCAAGCCTTTGTTCTTGCAGTCGAAAAATTTACCTGTAGCCGTCCGATAATTATAATTACCAGTCTGATAATATATTATCGGACGGCAATGATAACAAAATCGGACGGTGTTTAAAAAACAAAAAGAAGAGTGAAATTAAGATTAAATATGTCCAGAAACCCCCAATAAATATGTGAGGAAAAAATTCAGGGAAACCAAACGCAAGGAAATTAAGTTGATCACAATATAAAATAGCAAATCCATGAAAAGAAATCCGATTTTAAACCTTCCACAACATTAATTTTCACTCTTTAAAAGAGTTTTTGATTCAGCGCTTTGAATTAGCGAATTTAAATCCATTTCTGAAAAAAAGATTCTGCAATCTCTTTTTATGTTTGTTCCCCGATGGCCACACTTTCAAAACCTGAGAATTTTCATTATCTAAGCTAAAAATTCAGCTAGGGTAAAAATCCGCATTTTACTTGCCATGGTGATGGTTAAAATATCACCCAAAATTATGTCTGCATCAATGTCAATTTATGCACATCATAAATAAAAATGCCCCCCCCCCAAATCTTTCACCACCGTACTCATGTCCTGCTTAACCAAACGACTGCCATTGAATGAATGAAATTAATGAAACAAGAGTTCACTCACTTTTTTAGTGTTCACTCATTTCTTTTATTTACTTATCAGACGGGTAGAAAACAATTGATGCTTGAACTCCCATTGTGTTATTATCGGATTCCTCCAGGTAACTTTTGGACATTTAAATGGCAATGTTTTAAGTAAGATATATGCCTCATACTATTCTATATGTAAAATTATCAGACAGTTTTCGTCCCTAACGGGCCTCAAACAGTCGGATAATTTTACATATAGAACAGTATTCGGCATATATCCTTTACGTATATTACCTGCACTCGGACAATATTTTAGCTCCTTTGAAAAAATCATTTAAAATATCTGATTTTCCTTTATTCTTTAGATATGCATATTAATATAAAAATTACTTTGGATTATATTCAATTAATTTCTTAATTTTGAAAAGATGTATTATGACTAAGGCTTCTACTAATAGAGAAAAAAAACTCGGGTTTGAATTATCTTCATTATCAGATATATCCGATAAACTTATTTTTTTTCAAAATTGACTTCACAACAGATCTTAACTTCCGTCAGGAACTACTGTTTGTCAATAATGTTTTTGATCTGCGTTTTCCATGTAAGGATTGTTGTAATAAACTATTAAATCAATCTTATAATTTATTATTTTTATATATTATCTATGTAATGACGTACTTTTATTGTGTAAGATAAAATGTGCCTGTTTCGGGTTAAGCGGCTTTAAAGTAGAAGGCTACTTGAAAATACATATTAATTAGTACATTAAAAATGTAAACAGTGTTTGCAGAAATACTGTATACAGGGAAATTTTCGCCCCCGTTTTATTTTCGCCCCTTTCGCCCTCTTCCTCATTGGGCGAATATAAAATGGTGCAAATTCAAATTACACAGCATAATTTCTTAAACAAAACTAAGACTGGACGAATTTAAAATGGGGCAAAATAGTTGGCGAGTGCAAAAGGGTGAAAATAACATGGGGCGAAAATAACCCTGTATACAGTATTGGATGGAATGGGGGGGTGGGGGTGGTGATGAATATGGCCGTTTTAAAGGATCAATAAGTGCCTTTAAATTGGCACCATTCCCAAAGGAAAATAAGCCTAATAATTTCTTTTTTCTTTTTTTTAGGTCACCTGAGTAAACTCAGGTGACCTATTGCTATCCGTTTTCGTCCGTCGTCGTGTGTCGTGCGTCGAGTGTCGTGTGTTAACATTTGAACATTTTCAGCTTCTTCTCTGAAACCATTGAACCAATTTCAACCAATTTTGGCACACAGCATCTATGGGTGAAGGGGAACAAAAATTGTGAATTTCATGGTCCCTGCCCCCTGGGGCCTTGGGGGTGGGGCCAAAACCACTAAAATTAGTGCAATCATTAAAAATCTTCTTCTTTACTCCTGGACATCAAGCAGTCAAACTGTTTGTATGATTGTAATCAGCATTGAGTCCTTTACCAAAATTGTGAAATTCATGGCCCCAGGGTCATGGGTTCTAGTGCTAGGGTGGGGTATATATTGATTATATAATGAAAATGCATTAATTCTTTGAAAATCTTCTTCTCTGCTACTGGGTATCAAATAAACAAATTAAGTACATATTTATGATGAGCAAGAGTATCTCTTCCAGATTTGTGAATTTTATGACCCCAGGGTCAGGGGTTCTGGTGTAAGGGCGTGGCTCTATTGATTATATAATGAAAATGCATAAATTCTTTGAAAATTTTATTCTCTTCTCATGGGTATCAAACAAACGAATGAAGTACATTGTTATGATAAGCAAGAGTGCCTCTTTCAGATTTGTGAAATTCATGACCCCAGGGGCAGGGATTATGGTGTTGGGGCGGGGCTTTATTGATTATATAGTGAAAATGCATTAATTCTTTGAAAATTTTCTTTCTGCTCCTGGGTATTGAATAACCTAACTACGTACATTGTTATGATGAGCAAGCGTGTCTCTTTCAAAATTGTGAATTTCCTAGCCCCAGGGGCAGGGGTTCTGGTGTTAGATTGGGGCTCTACAGATTTATAGTAAAAATGCATTAACTCTTTGAAAATCTTCTTCTTTGTTCCTGTGCATTAAATAAACTAACTAAGTACATTGTTATAATGAGCAAGAGTGCCTCTTTCAAAATTGTTAATTTTAAGGCCCCAGGGTCAGAGGTTCAGTTCTGGTGTTGGGGGGGGGCTCTATTGATTACATAGTGAAAATTCATTAATTCTTTGAAAATCTTTTTCACTGTTCCTGGGTATTAAAAAAAACTAACTAAGTACATTGGTATGATGAGCTAGAGTGCCTCTTTCAAAATTGTGAATGTTATGGCCCCAGGGTCAGGGGTTCTGGTGTTAGGGTGGGGCTCTATTGATTATATAATGAAAATGCATTAATTCTTTGTAAATCTTCTTCTCTGCTCCTGGGTATCAAATAAACTTAACTAAGTACATTGTTATGATGACCAAGAGTGCCTATTTCAAAATTTTGAATTTTATGGCCCCAGGGTCGGGTTCTGGTGTTAAGGCTGGGCTCTATTGGAAATATTGTGAAAATGCATTTATTATTTAAAAATCTTCTCTGCTTCTGGGTATTAACTAAACAAAGTACATAGTTATGATGAGCAAGAATGGCACCTCAACCAAATATGTGGTTGTTTATGTCCCCTGTATCAGGGTTTTGAAAAAAGGTGCTTCTAGCAATACGGTGAATTTTATGCCCCCTGGGTCAGGGGTGGGGGGGGGGTACTTAGTCTGAAAATTAATTAATGCTTTGAAATCTTCTTTTTGGTATTAATCAACTATTTATGATGAAATAAAATTTATGATAAAATTTCCAAAATTTTGAAATAAATGGCCCCAGGGTTAGTGGTTCCTTTGGGGTGAGGTGCACAACTGGTTATAAAGTGGAAGTGCATTTTCTCTTTGTTACTCTGATCTACTTCTGGGTATTAAGTAACTAGTAGAGTAAGCATGCTAAGTGTATAATTATGATAAGCAATACTACCAGTGCCTATTTCAAAATTATGAATTTCATGGCCTCTGGTTTAAAACAGGAAATAAATTCAATTGTCAAAAGTTGTTGCATAATCCTCAGGTGACCTATAAGGCCCATGGGCCTCTTGTTCTTTTTTTTTTTTTTTTTAAATTTTTAGGTCACCTGAGTAAACTTAGGTGACCTATTGCTATCCGTTTTTGTCTGTCGTCGTGCGTCGTTCGTCGTGCATTAACATTTAAACATTTTCAGCTTCTTCTCTGAAACCGCTGAACCAATTTCAACCAATTTTGGCATATAGTATCTGTGGGTAAAGGGGAACAAAAATTGTGAATTTCATGGTCCCTTGGGTAGGGCTAAATAGAATATATAGTGAAAATGCATAAATTCTTTGAAAATCTTCTTCTCTGCTCCTGGGTATTAGATAAACTAATTAAGTTCATAGTTATGATGAGCAAGAGTGCCTCTACCAAAATTTTGAATTGTATGGCCCCATGGTCAGGGGTTCTGGTGTTAGGGTGTGGCTCTATAATGATTATATAGGGAAAATACATTACATCTATAGAAATCTTTTTCTCTACTCCTGGGTAATAAGCAGATGAACTATTTATATAGTTATCATGTGCAAGGGTTCTTCCAGAATTGTGAATTTCAAGGCCCCAGGGTCAGGGATACCAAAGGGGGGCTCTACTTATATACTAAAAATGAATTGTTTGAAATTAATCAAACATTTTTGATAAGCAAGTGTGCCTTTTCAAAAATTGTGCAATGTGTAGACCTAGGGTCAGGGGTTCATGTGTGGTAGGGGCACTCCTGATTATTGCTGAATGACATGCATTTTTGTTTCCTTACCCTGCTTATGGGTATTAAGTAAACATACTAAACATTTGCTAAGTGTATAGTTATGATTAGCAATGGTGCCTCTTTCAAAATTGTGAATGCCATAGCATCTAGCTAAAACATGAACCAAATTCAATCATTTGAAAGGTGTTGCATGATGCTCAGGTGACCTATAAGGCCCATGGGCCTCTTGTTAAATGTTTCAGTCCAAAGGCAGTTGAGGCAAAATAGTTACCATGATGCTTAACACTTTTTTCAGCTTTTCAAGGTAGAAAGAATGTTTGACATAGTCACCCACCAGTTTTTATCTCCATGCATTTCTTTTGTTTTTATTGACAATATGTCAAAGTGAATTGACACATTAGATACAAAATCTTAAATAGTCCTCTCCCATTACTCAGCTTAAGTGCATCTTAAAAATTACACAGGATTAACTAGTTGGAAATCCACTGTCTATATTATTATTTAGAAAATTTACAATGAAAATTTAATGTTTGGTCTGAATGCAGAACTCAGAATCTTCAATAGGATGAAATAAAGAAAGCATGAATGGATTCTTGAAGTCTGGATGACCAACATTTTATGACCTAATTGAAATTTGATATACAATCTATCTTCTTTTTTCATACACAAATAAAGCTACATGATAATGAATATGTTTTATTGTTCCTCAAGTCCAGTGTTCCAGTTTCAGAAATTAACAGTCATTGCAGCCTTAGAAACTCATAATACATAGGTGTTTTTCAAGGTCCATAGACCTGATGTTATTATAAAATATAGTCATAAATTTAATGTGAATAGAAGTATCAGAAATGTTGATGTATTTAGAAAATTGAAACTGATTTATTCTTTTTTAGATCGCAGAAAGCCTAATTTGATATGTACTGATATAGAACAAGTTTCAATCAACACCATAGAGGGTACCAGAGTTGATTTACAAAATTATTTTAGTGATCCAAAAGTGGGTGAAAATATAGCATTTAGCCCAGGACAAAACATCACTGTAAACACCACAACACTTGGTAAACCTCTACAAGTCAAAGGAACACTACAGAACATGTGGGGAACTGAGGACACATGTACATTACTAATATACACTAAAGGTAGATTTATAAACTTGTGTATGAGGTAAATATTTAAATTTTTTTTTGGTACTGTAGATCACTAAATTTTCACGACATCTTATTTTCGCGAGATAGTCATTGACTCTTGATTAGCGAAATAAAATTTTCACGAACTGTGGTTATTGCTCTATATAATCTTAAGGAATACTATTATATGCGAGAATTTAATTTTCCCGAGCACACTGTCTTGCGTAATTATGCGAAAATAAAGTTCTCACGAATAAAAAGGGATTTACAGTAATTCATATAAGGTTATTGCATGGCTCAAACATCAGGCTTCAAATTGACAGATAATGAAATTGTTCAACGTAAATAATCGAATCCTCTAATAGATCATACAGATTAATTTTCACCAAAGAATTACAATTTTAAAGACAGTTACAGTATAACCTAGATCTGGAATGCACTGATTAAGTGGCATACAATACATTTGTTTCTTACTGTTTTTCAGCTGAAGTTTGTTTCACTGAGAGTTTATCACCTGTTTCTCATGCTAAAAAAGAATGTCTTGATTCGAATGGAAACAAAACATGCACTTACACCTGTAATAGTGGATATCTTTATTTTGATGGATCCCAATCAAAAACCTACACATGTTCAGGAATGAATAAATGGTCTCCTTCCATGTATCCAGAAAGTTGTCTTTGTAAGTAATGTATTTCATTGTATATTTTTAGCTCACCATAGCTCAAAGGATTAATTGAGCTATTTGGATAAAAACTTGTCTATTGTCTGTTGTCATCAACTTTTCACAATTTTATCTTCTTCTCAAGAACTTAATTCCAATTTCAACTAAACTTTTCACAGAGTATCCTTGGGTAAAGGGGATTCAAGTTTGTTTCAAATGAAGGGCTACACCCTCCCCTAAGGGGAGATACAGTAAAACTTGGTTATAACGAAGTCGCAGGGACCCATGAAATTACTTAGCTATATCCATAATTTGTTATATCCGTATGCGGAATTCGTGAAATTTATATAGCTGGGCATCCAGGATATCTTTGCTATATCCATGAATTCGCAATATGGGTGGAACATATAATGCGTGAAATAACCTGTAAATTATTAATTTTCAGATACCTACGTGATTGCATGGGGTATAAAAGATACAAAAAATCATAAATTCTACCTCATTCAGTATGCATCATCATTCATTAACTAAAATTGTAATCATTTCAATTTGTCAACAGAAGTACTTTTGATTTGACCTGAAACATTAGTTTTGTAGATTGCTAGTCAGAAAACGAAAATTTCTATTATTTGATAGAGAAAAAATAGTTTTGTTTTATCAGATTTTCTGAAAACAGATGACTTGTTTTGTTTTCTGCTTCAATTGTAAAAATGTTGAATTTATTGCTGATACAAAAGGTTATTAAACATTGTTTTATGTGCAAGTTTAATCGCAAATAATAAAAATTTTATTGTTTTGTGTTGTTCGGTAATGTTCAAAGCCTGATTTTTTTAATAAATGACTTTTTTCCACCAGTGGTTTCAGCGGCGAGAATTTTTACAATGAATGCTAGAGGTTACCCAGCGCCAAGTCAAAAGCACAGGTGACTTTCGGTCTCTCAAAGTTTAAGGGACCGCAAGAAAAGTTCAAGCGATCGAGGGGTTCGAGACATAGAGAGTAAATAAAATCTGGAATTTTCAATTCCGATCATCGATGTTCTACTTTTATAGATACCGGAAGTATATATATGTAAATAAAGTCACTGCACGTTCAGTCGTATTTTACAGGTAATTTACTTGATATCAATAACAATGATCGTATTTCAAATAAATAAAATGAATTCTTAAAGTTTCAATCTTTATTTGTTCTTATTCCATGATTGCATACAACCCGCATAGCAATTGTCGGTTTGGCTGTTCCGTGGCTTGATTGGGACCTTCACCACTGACACCATGCAGTGTTCACCAGATTTTTCTTAATCGGTATTCAGTCCTTGAGAAAGGAATTTCAAGTGCAATATTTGCCATACTGGGATTATGTAGACTCTAATAAAAGTTTATAATCTATGGGAACTTATTGAAACGAACATCTATAAATTATTCTCTAAAAATTATAGTCTCGGTTTCAAGACAAATAAGTTGTGAATTCGTTTATAATTTACCAATAATATTCAATTAATTTTATCAAAACACATATCACCCACGGGTTTAGTGTCATCTATGTAAACACCCAATAAACACCTCCAAGCCAGCCCCAGGTGTTCACTGTTTTCCAGGTGAGTCCAGGCTGCATCAATTATACACATTATTGACGTGTATACACGCACAATCAAAACTTAGAGAGATAGTGAAATTCAATAAAATATGTATAATGGGACCCAGGTTTTGGTTCAAGTGATAAAGAACTTCAGGAGAAGTTCAAGAGATCAGGAGTAAATTTGCTTAGTTATATAGAGATTAAAAAACGGGACCTGAGTTTCACTTTGAGAGATGGAGAACTTTGAGAGATCGGAGTTTGAGCCATCGAGAGTCACCTGTATCTCGCTGTAAACCTCTAGCATGATGGAGTAGGGTGGGGCCATAATATAATATAACATAAAATCAGTGACAATATAGGTACACAGTTTACAAAAAATCAAAATATGTATCGAGATCAAAACTCAAATGTCTTATTTAATTTAAATTTTAAATAAAAGAACACCTAAGGCCGGAATTAAAAATATCTTTGTTTCCCCTAACCCGACCCCAAATTCTCAAGTTGGGTCGGTAGGTAGGTAAACAATTTTATTTTCTGACAGCAGCAGTTCAAATTCCAATGAGTAACGTTGAAAACGGTCCTTCAAAGGGGACATTAAAAACTTATGTCCAGTGTCGCAGAAGATGCTGGCTCAAAAAAGATCCCCCACTACTTAATGGCAAAAAAGTGTGTAGTACGTCTAAAGATTCTTTGGAGCCATGGGGAAATGTTCAAATGTCGTCCCAACAAATCTCGAAGGGATTAAAAGCAAAGAAACAACCAAATTTCAAGGTTTAAAAAACAATAATTGATCAATCAATCATGGGTCTAATTAAAGAAAAATTCACTAGACGTCTCATGAAGCTAGAATCATGATTTCAAAACTATTTGGAAAGAGTATGTAAAAAATATTTAATTGAACCAAACCGAATATACAAAATGATAAAAATGTTGTATACAATGTCATAGTCACGAAGTTTAACCCACTAAATAAAGGCATGAAGAAAGAAGATCTGAATTATATTTATCAGGATGAATATGCAGACATATTTACAACAACTCCTGTGGTTCTATTATGGCATACTAAGTATAGTAAACATAGGAACATAGATGAATTGGTTATTAGGTCAAAACTCAAATTAAATAAGATGCAGTGAAATTGAATGATGTGTTCATTAGGTGGGCCCCTTATATGATACATTACCATGTATTACGTACCTTAAATTCAAAAACAGGTTTGTTTGTTTGTTTGTTCTGTTCTGTTCAGTTCTGTTTGTTGTTTAACGTCCCTTTCGAAAATTTATTCACTCACATGGAGATGCCAAGACACCTCGGAAACACTCTTAATTAGTCATGGTTAATTTTATTATTGAGTTGTTTCAAGAGTGAAGAATTCCAATTAGCTAAAAGCATAAGATTGAGATGTTGCCATTGTTTTATGAAGAGCTAATGCCCTTTACATAATCACATCTGGACGTCATTTTGTTTTCAACAAATGCTTGAAAAATCACAGCAGAACAAAATCGGCCGTTCTGATAAAGACAGATTTTGATGAAATTGTATTTTATAAAACTTAGTTTACAATAAAAAAAATATTTGAATCATCTTATTTTAAAAATCTTTTCAGTCGGCGCGATTTACTTGGGTCGGTCGCGTTAGGGGAAACAAAGTTATTTTTTATTTTGGCCTAAATGGGAATTTTTTTTTTTTAAATTTGGAAAATGAAGTGTGACTGAGTCTCTGTAAAGGATACATGTTGAGGATAATTAATCTGTGGGCTATGAGTTTCATCAGGCTATTTACTTTTTTTCAGTGACAGAGTCTCCATCCTACAAAGCTAAGTTAGAGGTGGTTTATGGATTAGGGGATCTTCCTGCTTCCCAATGTTTACAAGGCTTCAACAACTCACTAGCTGTATATAACACTACTATAGCACAAAAAGTGGATATAAGATGTGATGGCTTTGGAGCAGGAAAGTTTAAGATTAATAGTTTTACATCAACAACAAAAGCATTTCAGGTATTTTTAAGTAAGAAAGAATAATGAGTGTTCCATCCAATTTTATGATATGTTGAATTGTTTTGAGTTGTTTCCTTAATTAAGGAGGCTTATTACAGTACACCCACAATTTATTTTAGATTTCATTACAGTACCACTTATAATGTAGATATCAAATATTCAAATGGAGGTAATGATTTCATAAATGTTTTTTATAAAATTTTAAAACCTTTTGTAGCTCACCTGAGCCGAAGGCTCAAGTGAGCTTTTCGGATCAAAATTTGTCCGTTGTCTGTCGTCAGCGTTGTTGTCGGCGTAAACTTTTCACATTTTCATCTTCTCCAGAACCACTGGGCCAGTTTCAACCAAACTTGGCACAAAGTATCCTTGGTTGAAGGGGAATCAATTTTGTTCAAATGAAGGGCCACGCCCCCTTCCAAGGGGAGATAATTATGAATTTGTGAAAAATTTATGGCATTTTTAAAAAATCTTCTTCTCCAGAACCGCTGGGCCAGGAAAGATGAAACTCATGAGGAATCATCCTCAGGTAGTGTAGATTCAAGTTTGTTCAAATCATGACCCCCGGGGCAAGGGTGGGGCCAAAATGGCCGACCAAAGTTTTACATAGGGATATATAGGGAAACCTTTTAAAATCTTCTTTTCAAGTACTTCAAAGCTATGATTTGTGATATTTATATGGAATCATCCTCAGGTAGTGTAGATTCTAGTTTGTTCAAATGAGGCTGGGGGGGGGGGTGGTGGAGTAAATTCAAGCCTGATGTGCTCAGGTGAGTGCTGTGGCCCCTGGGCCTCTTGTTTCTGATTTGAGTAAAAAGTTTAAATTAAGTTAATTATAAATAAAATTGCAAAAATCATATACATGTTGGTAACAAACATTGAATTTGTTTTATAATGTTTGACATTTACCATTAACTTTGACTTAACTAATACATTTTGAACTTTTAAAACATAGGTATTCTTATCTCTAAACAAGAATTTCAAAAACACTACAGTATTATTTTTTCCTACCCTTGTGAATTTGGTTTTACATAAGAGTATATAGGAAAGAATGGATGGACTTAACTGGTCAGAAAAAATGCCGTAAATTTAAGTTTCATGAATGTTCATTTCTTTTCATCATATTAACCCCCTATATCTCAACCTTGTATTCATGGTACAGATGTGAATTTAAAATGCTCTTTTTGAGGTTAACTAAATAAATATTGAAGGTATGGTGCCTGAAGATTTCTTGAATATCAATAGATAATCACGATCAGGTGTTTTTCATCGTCTGAATACATAGTCAGCACACGTTTGTCGGCTGTTCTTAAGAAAATTAGTTGTATATTGAACAAGATAATGTCATATTATAAGGAGAAAGCCGACAAACGTGTACTCATACTTAATTTAACAAAAAGCATGTTCAAAACAAACTTTTTGCTTCCATTGTTATGACTGCGTTAACCTTGATTTTACTTCGATTGACCTGTAAATATTGCAATTCTTCATTTGATGTTCACCTGCTAGTGTACTCATGAAAACAGTTACAGCATTTAGCAAATTAAATGTTGTTATACCCCCCATAAACGAAGTTTGGGGGGGTATATAGGAATCACCTTGTCCGTCTGTCCGTCTGTCTGTCTGTCCGTCTGTTCGTCTGTCTGTGCAAACGTGTCCTGTCCATATCTTTCTTGCGGAGGAACATTAGAATCTACTTCTCCACACAAAGATTGACCATGACCTAAAGGTGTGTCATGACCTTGAACCAAGGTCATTTGGGGAAGTTAAAGGTCACTGGAAGAAAAAATTCATAATTCGTGTCCGGTCCATATCTTTCTTATGGATAAACTTGGTAAGTTCTAATTTCACACAAAGGTTGCTCATATTCTAAGAGTGTGTCATGACCTTGACCCAAGGTCATTTGGGAAAGTACAAGGTCACTGGAAGAAAAATTTCATAATTTGTGTCCGGTCCATATCTTTCTGATGGATAAACTTGGTAGGTTCTCATTTCACACAAAGATTTCTCCTGACCTAAGGATGTATCATGACCTTGGGTCAAGGTCATTTGGGGAAGTTCAAGGTCACTGGAAGAAAAATTTCATAATTCATGTCTGGTTCATATCTTTCTTATGGGTAACCCTGACCCACGAAGTTACATCCCCACGAACGTATATACAAACATTTGTTTGTGAAAAGTTACACAGACTATTTTATATCGTAAAATAACTGTTACCCTTCTGTCTGTGTGATCGCGCATAAAGAAGACAATCTGTATGTGGTTATTGACACATAACAAAAATTAAAAAAAAGAAATATTAAGTATCAAAAGCATCAATATCTATATACAATAAATAATAAAATGATAAATACAACTGTTGAATTTACCGGTAAGTAGTGTTTACATTATAGTCAAACACGCTCAAATGCCCCTTTGATGAGGTCAATTTTCAGTGCGATTTTGGAGGGGGTGCTAACTAGCCAATCAGCATGAATTGGTTTCAGGGTAGACGTTTTTAAGGCAATTTGGCATTGTCATTAGCTCACCTGAGCCAAAGGCTCAAGTGAGCTTTTCTGATCAAAATTTGTCTGTTGTCTGTCGTCGTTGTCGTTGGCATCGTTGTCGTAAACTTTTCACATTTTCATCTTCTTCTCAAAAACCACTGGGCCAATTTCAACCAAACTTGCAACAAAGTACCCTTGGGTAAAGGGGATTCAAGTTTGTTCAAATGAAGGGCCACGCCCTTTTCCAAGGGGAGATAATAATGAATTAGAGAAAAATTAATGGCATTTTTAAAAAAATCTTCTTCTCAATAACCACTGGGCCAGGAAAGATGAAACTCATGTGGAATCATCCTCAGGTAGTATAGATTCAAGTTTGTTCAAATCATGACCCCGGGGGTAGGGTGAGGCCAAAATGGCCGATCAAACTTTTACATAGGAATATATTGGGAAAATCTTTAAAAATCTTCTTCTCAAGAACCACTGGGCCAGGAAAGACGAAACTCATGTGGAATCATCCTCAGGTAGTATAGATTCAAGTTTGTTCAAATCATGACCCCGGGGGTAGGGTGAGGCCAAAATGGCCGATCAAACTTTTACATAGGAATATATAGGAAAAATCTTTAAAAATCTTCTTCTCAAGAACCACTGGGCCAGGAAAGATGAAACTCATATGGAATCATCCTCAGGTAGTGTAGATTCAAGTTTGTTCATATCATGACCCCTGGGGTTAGGGTGGGGCCAAAATGGCTGATCAAAGTTTTACATAGCAATATATAGGAAAAATCTTCTTCTCAAAATCCATTGAGACAGGAAAGATGAAACTCATGTGGAATCATCCCCAGGTAGTGTAGATTCAAGTTTGTTCAAATCATGACCCCCGTAGTAGGGTGGGGCCAAATGGCCGATAAAAGTTTTACATAGGAATAAATGGGGAAACCTTTTAATATCTTCTTTTCAAGTACTTCAAAGCCATGCTTAGTGATATTTTTAGGGAATCATCCTCAGGTAGTGTAGATCCTAATTTGTTCAAATCATGACCTCCTGGGGGGTTAAATTCAAGCCCCCCCCCCCCGTAAACTTTCAGTTCTGATCTGATATGTGCTTTTTCCTAGCCAATTGCTCAGGTGAGCGATGTGGCCCCTGGGCCTCTTGTTGTACAAATGTTCCACCTAATATAACCACGTATAAGTAGCTCTTTCCATTGCTAGTGATGTATTTTGAATTCACATAATTAACAACTTGGTAGTTGCAAAGTCACAAAAAGATCCAAAATAGGGCCTTAGGTCCACCCATTCTTTTAAAAAATCTTCTTCTCAAGAACAGCCGAGCCATGATTGGTCATATTTGTTTGGTAGCATCTTCAGGTAGTGTAGAATCAAGTTGTTTCCGTGTCCATGCATCTGGAAACTTTTCACATTTTTAAGTTCTTCTCATGAACCACTACACCAATTTTAACCAAACATTAAACAAAGGAGCCATGGGTATAGTGGAATCAAGAAAAAATAAGGGCCCAAGTCCCCTTCCAAGGGCACAACCTCACTGAGGTAGAGTAGATTCAAGTTTGTTGATATCATGAAAGCTTTCCCTCCATCCCACTCCCAACCCAGTCAGGATTCAGGAATAAGAACAGCAAAGGTATAATTAGATATCTTCTATTTGGAAGTTTCCTCTGACAGTGTAGATTCAAGTTCGTTCAAATCATGACCACAGGAAAGTTGGATGGAGTCACAATGGATGATCTAATGTTTACATATTAGTACCGTATAAGTAGAATTTTTAGCGAGGATTTAATTTTGGCAACATTAGTGAGGGTGCAGACATTGCTAAAATTGAATATCGCTAAAAATTAATTGCTTATTATTTGTAATAGCTTCTTTAGTTAGCATTTTAAAATCGCTAAAATTACTTCTCACTAAAAATAAAATACCAGATTTTAGGTAGAAATCGCTAAATTTGCATCTCGCTAAAATTTCCACTTATACGGTAATATAATGGAATTTTTCTTCTCAAGAACAGCAGAGACATGATTGGTCATATCTATATGGAAATATACAGGTAGTGCAGATTCAGATTTGTTTAAATCATGACTGCTAGGGGTAGGAGTGATTGTAATTTACTGTACATTTGTTTTTTTCGTGTGTTGGAAATTTTGCAAAAAAGAGGTAGATTAGTACAGTTTATAATTTGTTGTAAGTTATTTTTTACGATTGAAGATTTTTTTGGTTTAAAATCATAATGTTTTTATGTCACATTATAGCTGACATAATTTTTGCATGTTTCATATTTTGTGAATTAAAAATGGTTGCAAAAAATGCGAAAATAAGATCATCACGAAAAAAAAACTGGATATACAGTACTGAAGCTTTAATGACCCGTTGAACCAATTTCAATAAACTTAAACCGCACCTCAGAAGAACATCCTTTTGGTACTCTAATAAGCCATTAAATTTTGTGAGGAGAGTTATTGAGGGAATTTAATGTAGAAAACTTGGCTTGTTCAAATATGTTATTTTGTTGTATATAAGAACAAAGTAGTTGAATTCACCAAATTAAGGCCAGGTAAAATTAATCTTTAGATTCTCATCCTAATTTGCAAAAAAATTGGGGCGGGTGGGCGGATTTTATTTTTTATTTTTTATAATTGTTAATTTATATATAGGCCTAATTAAGTATCAACAAAACAACGGATGCCCCGTACACATTTTTAGGTCACCTGAGTCACTCAGGTGACCTATTGCTATCTGTTTTCGTCCGTCGTCGTCCGTCGTACGTCGTTCGTCGTTCGTCGTCAATCGGTCGTAAACTTTCGAACATTTTCAGCTTCTTCTCTGCAACCACTGAACCAATTTCAATCAAATTTGGCACAAAGCATCTATGGGTGAGGGGGAACAAAAATTGTGAATTTCATGATCCCTGCCCCCCTGGGGCCTGGGGGGTGGGGCCAAAACCACTAAAATTAATGCAATCTTTAAAAATCTTCTTCTTTACTCCTGGACATCAAGCAGTCAAACTGTTTGCATGATTGTAATCAGCATTGAGTCCTCTACCAAAATTGTGAAATTCATGGCCCTGGGGTAAGGGGTTCTTGTGCTAGGGTGGGGCCCATTAAGTATATAGTGAAAATGCATTATTTCTTTGAAAATCTTCTTCTCTGCTCCTGGGTATTACATAAACTAACTAAGCACATAGTTATGATGAGCAAGAGTACTTCTACCAAAATTGTGAATTTTATGGCCCCAGGGTCAGGGGTTCTGGTGTTAGGGCGGGTCTCTATTGATTATATAGTGAAAATACATGAATTCTTTGAAAATCTTCTTCTCTGCTCCTAGGTATTAAATAAACTAAGTAAGTACATAGTTATGATGAGCAAGAGTGCCTCTACTAAAATTGTGAATTTTATGGCCCCAGGGTCAGGGGTTCTGGTGTTAGGGCGGGTCTCTATTGATTATATAGTGAAAATACATGAATTCTTTGAAAATCTTCTTCTCTGCTCCTAGGTATTAAATAAACTAAGTAAGTACATAGTTATGATGAGCAAGAGTGCCTCTACTAAAATTTTGAATTTTATGGCCCCAGGGTCAGGGGTTCTGGTGTTAGGGTGGGGCTCTATTGATTATATAGTGAAATACATGAATTCTTTGAAAATCTTCTTCTCTACTCCTATGTATTAAATAAACTAAATAAGAACATTGTTATGATGAGCAAGAGTACTTCTACCAAAATTGTGAATTTTATAGCCCCAGCATCAGGGGTTCTGGTGTTAGGGTGGGGCTCTATTGATTATATAGTGAAAATACGGTACATGAATTCTTTGAAAATCTTTTTCTCTGCTTCTAGGTATTAAATAAACAAACTAAGTACATAGTTATGATGAGCAAGAGTGCCTCTACCAAAATTATGAATTTTATGGCCCCAGGGTCAGGGGTTCTGGTGTTAGGGCGGGGCTCTATTGATTATACATGTATAGTGAAAAAACATTAAATCTTGAATATTTTCTTCTTGTGCTGGGTATTAAGCAGATGAACTACCTATATAGTTATGAGCAAAGACCCTTATCTTCAAGAATTGTGAATTTCAAGGCCCTAGGGTCAGTTGTACCATAGAGGGGGGGGGGGCTGTACCTATATACTGAAAATGAATGAATTGTTTGAAATCTGCTCCTTGGTATGAATCAAATATTTTTGAAAACCAAGGATGCCTTTTCAAAAATTGTGCAAGATTCAAGGGTTCATGTGTGGTAGAGTTACTACCGATTATTGCTGAATATTACTGATTTGTTGAAATGCATTTTTTGTTCCCCTACCCTGCCTATGGGTATTAAGTAACCAAACTAAGCAACTGCTAAGTGTATAGTTATGATGATCAAAATTGTAAATGCTATAGCATCTGGCTTAAAACATGGATCAAATTCAATCACTGCAGGAAAGTTGTTGCATAATGCTCAGGTGACCTATAAGGCCCATGGGCCTCTTGTTTTCATTACCTTAATGCAAATATGAATAGATTTAATTCTTTTTATATTCTTTAAATATTTAAAGAAATTTTTTTCTTTATTAAAGTTAAATATTTATTGTTAATTAACAAATTATCAAGTACACTTTATACGGCACACCCTGAACAAAATGAGGTGGGGATACCAATAAATTGTGTATGCTTGACTTCTTATTTTGCAAAATCTATATAAATGTTCTAATAAGTATTCTACTGAAAAAGCTAGGCCTTCTCTTAAGTCTGTCTACGATGTTGTAGATTTTTTTTATTTCAAAGCTAAATCACACAGCTGGAGATCGTTATATATAACTTGACTTTCCTCGTCTATTTTTACTTAGTTACAATCTCTCTACATACTTGGCTTGCTCCTGCCAGTGATGGTATATATATGTGTTTATGCTAAGTTTTCTTCTCTGCCTTCTCTTTACTGACAAATTATCTTTTCCTTACATATTTAAACTGCTTTTATTGCCGATTTTTCTCCATTCTTCACATGGCGTTTTTGCTATAAATAGCGACACGCGACTTTTAATACAGACGGGAGATAACTCTTAAACTTTGAAACAAATTCTTACTGAATAAAAATACATGAAAATACCCAAAAATCAAAATAAAAAACATCGGGGAGGGACATTTTGAGAGGGGCGGGCGGGGATGAGAATCTAAAGATTAATTTTATATGGCCTAAAGAAAAAAATGTTTTGTTTGTAGATCACCACTGTCTTTAGTGGAGAATTTACTGGAAGTGGTACTGATGGTGCAAGATCTACATGTTTAGGATCACTGGTTATTGTAGTAAATAATAATCCCTCTTTTTTCCTGCATAATAATACTGTTGTTTGTGATGGAGGACAGTCAAGTGTATCTGTTGTAAGCATCAAAGAGGTTGATTCTGGAAATAAGTGCTCTGACAACATGGTACTTATCAAACCTACATCATCAGGGAGCAGTGAACAATGTGGTAAGTGACATGATATAACTTAGAGCTGAAAACAATTCATAAAAGGAATTTGTCTGTCACATTCAATTGGACTTTAACTCACTATTACTACATCTATATAAAGCTGCTTACTTGGTCACTGTTCAGTGCAATCGTCACTGGTGTACATGTATATGCATGCTTTATACAGCACTCGGAAGCCCCCCCCCCCCCCCCCCCCCCCCACCACCACCACCAAAAAAAAAATAAATAAACGCAGAAACTTTAAATATTGCACAGTTCAGTGCGGTATACAAAAAATAAAATTAACAAAAATACATGGAAAGGCAATAAAATGTAAACAAAGGTAATGCAAGATATCAGCATGAACACAGATCAATATTCCACGCAGATACCCATGATCATAATAAAGCATTCAGGTGTAATGAATTTTTAGAGTACCGGTATACATGTAGCAGGAATCAACCGTTGGATTGTTTGTATCTTTCAATATTTTTCTCTTTCAGTGATGTGTCCACCAGGAAGATATTTTAATGGCACTAGCTGTGTGATATGTCTAGATGGTCAGTTTCAGGATTCAGTAGGCAAGGCTTCTTGTAACAGCTGTCCAACAAATACTGTGTCTAATGATGACAGAACTGCATGCACTGGTAATATTTATTATTGCAACATAGTGAAACTTGAGACTTAAGTTTGTTACCTCTTCCCCGAAACATAATTTTACAGAGTGAAATGGTTTGTAAGTTTATTTATATAATATAAATGATTTAAGTACTCTGGATAAGTGTGTACTTATGAGCATGCGCCACAAAAAATGTTTTGAAGGAACATAATATGATACATAAAAAGTATGCCAGCTTCTTGTGTACCAAACAAAATCACTTCATGATTAGTTGAACAAGTAGAGGCAATGGAATGACTCAATCAGAAATCAGCATTGCATGCTTTTCTACCATTAAGCTATAATCTAGCGAAAATTACATGACAAACAATTGTTGAAACTAAGACATCAACAGTTTCATTTTAAGTCATCATTTTGCAAATTCTATGGTTGATAAAGCAACCTTGTCAAAATATACAACCTATGATTATTAGGTTGAAAACTAAGATTTCCATATAAGGTTTAATAAGCTCACCTGAGCTGAAAGCTTTTCTGATCGAAATTTGTCAGTCAAATTTGTCTGTTGTCGTCATCATAATTGTCGCTGTAAACTTTTCACATTTTTGACTTCTTCTCCAGAACCATTAGGCCAATTTCACCCAAACTTACCACAAATTAGCCTTGAGTGGGGGATTTTTTATTGTTCAAATGAAGAGCCAAATCCTCGTCTAAGGGGGATAATACTTGATATTGCGGTTACTTAACTTAGCGGAACTCTTTTGCGAAGGAGGTAGGAATCGTCTGTTGGGTGGGGGCAATGTACATTCAATACAATGCAAGATAAATCATTGTAGCATTTATAAGGACAGATAAATAAAAAAATCCTGGTGGAATACCCTGCTAAACAATAGCTTAACCAGCCTAATATATTTTTTAGAGGAGCCAATCCTAAATTGTCACATTTTTAAAGATATCTTAAATTAAGCGGACTCTTCTCGTTAACTTTTCATTGAAAATCGTCACATTTTTAGCTCTACTGGTCAGAGACCAGAAGAGCTTATGCGATGGTAATGCATCCGTCGTCCGTCCGTCTGTCTGTCTGTCCGTCTGTCTGTCTGTAAACAATTTTTCAAAATGCTACTCCTCCTACAGTTTTGGTCTGATTTCAATATAACTTGGCACACAAGTAGACTACACTAAGATACATAATTCTGTTTATCGGTTTTTGATTTCGATGAACGATGTTGCCGTGGTAACTAAAAATAGAAATTTCTGTGAAATTCTTTCAAAATGCGACTCCTTCTACAGTTTTTGTCTGATTTCAATATAACTTGGCACACAAGTAGACTACACTAAGATACATAATTCTGTATATCGGTTTTTGATTTCAATGAACGGTGTTGCCGCGGTTACTAAAAATAGAAATTTCTGTGAAATTCTTTCAAAATGCTACTCCTCCTACAGTTTTGGTCTGATTTCAATATAACTTGGCACACAAGTAGGCTACACTAAGATACATAATTCTGTGTATTGGTTTTTGATTTCGATGAACGGTGTTGCCGTGGTTACTAAAAACAGAAATTTCTGTTAAATACTCTCAAAATGCTACTCCAAATAACAGTTTTAGTCTGGTTATAATATAATGTGGCATGCAAGTAGACTACACTAAGAACATAAAGAGACTTAATCAAGGATCATTATTCTATTTATTGCTGTTGAAAAGTTTCAATTTCCAACTGCTTAAGTACTTTTCTCTTCCTTTGCTATAAGTACAAACCAGTAGAGCTTCAGTCTCGACAGAGACTTCTGGTTAAGCAGATAAAATATTCTAAACTTTCCTTATTTGACAATCTACTATTTGTAGTTCAATATGTGGCAAAACATCGTAATTTCGGCATTAAATTGTTCGAATCATTCGATTGTCACTACTGTAAACAATGTCATTTGCCCCCAGAAATTTAGACTTTTCTCGACTCCCCCACAAAAGAGCGGTAGTAAGTTAGATAACTGCGAGGTACTCATTGGTAGTCGCGATATAACGTATTTTGAATTAATGAAAAATTAATGGCATCTTTTAAAAATCATCTTCTCAAGAACCCCCGGGCCAGGAGAGTTGAAACTCTTCGGGAAGCATCCTAAGGTAGTGTAGATTAAAGTTTGTTCAAATTATGACCATGGGGGTAAGGCAAGGCCGCAATGGCTGATCAAAGCTTTACATAGGAATACATAGGAAAAATATTTAAAAATCTTCTCCAAAACCATCAGGCTAGGCAAGATGAAACTCATGTGGAATCATCAGGTGAAGTAGATTCAAGTTTGTTTTAAATCATGACCCCTGGGAGTAGAATAGGGCCTCAATGGACTACAAGAGTTTTACATATATTTTTTAATATATCGGAAAAATCTTCTTCTCAAGAACAGCAAAGCCATAATTGGTGATATTTATATTCATTTATATAAAAGCATCCTCAGGTAGGGTTGAATCAAGATTGTTCAAATCAGAATTCTTGGGAGGTAGGGTGGGGACACAATTTGGGATCAATTTTTACAAAGGAATACCGTATATACTAAAACATATCTTTAAAAATTTTCTGAGAAAAGCAAAAGTGCAAAACTATGATTAGTGTTTTTAGCTCTACTGGTCAGAGACCAGAAGAGCTTATGCGATGGTAATGCGTCCGTTGTCCGTCCGTCTGTCTGTCTGTCTGTCTGTCTGTCTGTTGTCTGTCCGTCTGTCTGTCTGTAAACAATTTTTCAAAATGCTACTCCTCCTACAGATTTGGTCTGATTTCAATATAACTTGGCACACAAGTAGACTACACTAAGATACATAATTCTGTGTATCGGTTTTTAGCTCTACTGGTCAGAGACCAGAAGAGCTTATGCGATAGTAATGCGTCCGTCGTCCGTCCGTCTGTCTGTCTGTCTGTCTGTCCGTCTGTAAACAATTTTTTTAAAATGCTACTCCTCCTACAGTTTTGGTCCGATTTCAATATAACTTGGCACACAAGTAGACTACACTAAGATACATAATTCTGTGTATCGGTTTTTGATTTCAATAAACGGTGTTGCCGTTGTTACTAAAAATAGAAATTTTTGTGAAAATCATTCAAAATGCTACTCCTCCTACAGTTTTGGTCTGATTTCAATATAACTTGGCACACAAGTAGACTACACTAAGATACATAATTCTGTATATCGGTTTTTGATTTCGATGAACGGTGTTGCCGTTGTTACTAAAAATAGAGTTTTTTATGAAAATCATTCAAAATGCTACTCCTCCTACAGTTTTGGTCAGATTTCAATATAACTTGGCACACAAGTAGACTACAATAAGATACATACTTCTGTGTATCGGTTTTTGATTTCGATGAACAGTGTTGCAGTTGTTACTAAAAATAGAATTTTTTGTGAAAATCATTCAAAATGCTACTCCTCCTACAGTTTTGGTCAGATTTCAATATAACTTAGCACACAAGTAGACTACACTAAGATACATAATTCTGTGTATCGGTTTTTGTCATTATTCTATTTATTGCTTTTGTAAAGTTTTATAGCCCAACTGCTACTTATCTCTTTCTTTATTATAAGTACAAACCAGTAGAGCTTCAGTCTCGACAGAGACTTCTGGTTGATTTCAATGAACGGTGTTGCCGTGGTAACTAAAAATAGAAATTTCTGTGAAATTCTTTCAAAATGCTACTCCTCCTACAGTTTTGGTCTGATTTCAATATAACTTGGCACACAAGTAGACTACACTAAGATACATAATTCTGTGTATCGGTTTTTGATTTTGATGTACGGTGTTGCCGTTGTTACTAAAAATAGAAATTTCTGTGAAATTCTTTCAAAATGCTACTCCTCCTACAGTTTTGGTCTGATTTCAATATAATTTGGCACACAAGTAGACTACACTAAGATACATAATTCTGTGTATCGGTTTTTGATTTCGATGAACGGTGTTGCCGTGGTTACTAAAAATCGAAATGTCTGTGAAATTCTTTCAAAATGCTACTTTTCCTACAGTTTTGGTCTGATTTCAATATAACTTGGCACACAAGTAGACTACACTAAGATACATAATTCTGTATATCTGTTTTTGATTTCGATGAACGGTGTTGCCGTGGTTACTAAAAATAGAAATTTCTGTGAAATTCTTTCAAAATGCTACTCCTCCTACAGTTTTGGTCTGATTTCAATATAACTTGGCACACAAGTAGACTACACTAAGATACATAATTCTGTATATCGGTTTTTGATTTGGATGAACGGTGTTGTCGTGGTTACTAAAAATAGAAATTTCTGTGAAATTCTTTCAAAATGCTACTCCTCCTACAGTTTTAGTCTGATTTCAATATAACTTGGCACACAAGTAGACTACACTAAGATACATAATTCTCTTTATCAGTTTTTGATTTCACTGAACGGTGTTGCCGTGGTTACTAAAAATAGAAAATTCTGTGAAATTCTTTCAAAATGCTACTCCTCCTACAGTTTTGGTCTGATTTCAATATAACTTGGCAAACAAGTAGACTACACTAAGATACATAATTCTGTATATCGGTTTTTGATTTTGATGTACAGTGTTGCCGTGGTTACTAAAAATAGAAATTTCTGTGAAATTCTTTCAAAATGCTACTCCTCCTACAGTTTTGGTCTGATTTCAATATAACTTGGCACACAAGTAGACTACACTAAGATACATAATTCTGTGTATCGATTTTTGATTTCGATGAACAGTGTTGCCATGGTTACTAAAAATAGAAATTTCTGTGAAATTCTTTCAAAATGCTACTCCTCTTACAGTTTTGGTCTGATTTCAATATAACTTGGCAAACAAGTAGACTACACTAAGATACATAATTCTGTGTATCGGTTTTTGATTTCGATGAACGGTGTTGCCGTGGTTACTAAAAATAGAAATTTCTGTGAAATTCTTTCAAAATGCTACTTTTCCTACAGTTTTGGTCTGATTTCAATATACTGTAAACCAACTTTTATTCGCGTCGACTTTATTTCGCGATTTACCGAGAGTAAACTAATTCGCGACGATTAATATTCGCGATCAAGCCGTTTTTGGAACTGTTTTTAATAGAAAAAGAGACTTTGAGGACCTGTTCGCGATGAGAAATATTCGCGATGACGAGGCTCTCGCGAACCTCGCGAAAATTTCTCGCACGCGAATAAAAGTTGGTTTACAGTAACTTGCCACACAAGTAGACTACACTAAGATACATAATTCTGTGTATCGGTTTTTGATTTCGATGAACGGTGTTGCCGTGGTTACTAAAAAAAGAAATTTCTGTTAAATACTCTCAAAATGCTACTCCAAATAACAGTTTTAGTCTGGTTATAATGTAATGTGGCATGCAAGTAGACTACACTAAGAACATAAAGAGACTTAATCAAGGATCATTATTCTATTTATTGCTGTTGAAAAGTTTCAATATCTAACTGCTTAAGTACTTTTCTCTTCCTTTGCCATAAGTACAAACCAGTAGAGCTTCAGTCTCAACAGAGACTTCTGGTTTTATATGGAACTAATGGAAGCCTCCTCATGTGGTTTAGTTTTAGGTTTGTTCAAATTATAACCCCCAGGGTTAGGGTGTGGCCACAATAAGGGGTCAGAGTTTTTCCTTAGAATATATAGGAAAATATCTTCTACAGAATAAAAAAGTAATTTAGTCAAATTGACATGTAAGTATTTGCAAGTAGATAAGATTTAGATTTATTCAACTCATGTTCGAGGTAGGGAGGGGTCACAATGGGAGGACAAGTAATATGTCAGAAAAATCTTTAAAAATCTTCTTTTCAAGAATGGCAAAGTTATACTTGTATGTTTTATTGATATGGTGACAGTCTTTACAGTAGCAAATTCAAATCCCCCTCCTCCCAAACTTTTCAATATTGAGCTAATTTGTGTTCTTTAACTAGCCCATGAGCTCAGGTGAGCAGTGTGGCCCATTTGCCTCTTTTTTAATTATTTTACATTTAATTTATTTACAGTTTAAAATATAACAAGTAACACGTTATTAAATAAAGGTACATAAGTTCCCAAGGCTGCCTCCTAATTGAATTGCTTTACTTTTTTATTAGACCTGTGTCCACCTGGTTTCGTTTCAAGTGATGGAATGACAGAATGTAAGCCATGTGGTAGAGATGAATACTGGGTAAATGCGACCAACTGTGAAAACTGTCCAACTGGTTATAAGACAGAAGTACAAAATGGTGTTCCTGATATCAGTGGATGTAAAGGTAATATTGTTCCAATCAGTAATTAACAGATTTTAGGTGCAATGAATTAACTTAATAGTTGGTACATGTAGTTGACCATCAATATTGCATTATAGGAAATATTTTTAGCTCACCTGAGCCGAAGGCTCAAGTGAGCTTTTCTGATCACATTTTGTCCGTCTGTCTGTCCGTCCGTCTAGCTGTTCGTCCGTCTGTCCGTCTGTCTGTCCGTCTGTAAACTTTTCACATTTTCGACTTCTTCTCAAGAACCACTGGGCCAATTTTGACCAAACTTGGTACAAAGCATCCTTGGGTGAAGGGGAATATAAATTGTTAAAATGAAGGGACATATCCCCTCGCAAGGGGAGATAATCAAGGAAAGACAAAAATAGGGTGGGGTCATTAAAAAATCTTCTTCTCAAGAACCACTGGGCCAGTAAAGCTGAAACTTATGTGGAAGCATCCTAGGCTAGTGTAGATTCTAAATTGTTCATATCATGACCCCCGGGGGAAGTGCGGGGCCACAATAGGGAATCAAAGTTTTATATAGAAATGTATAGGAAAAATCTTTGAAAATCTTCTTCTCAAGAACCACTGGGCCAGAAAAGCTGAAACTTATGTGGAAGCATCCTGGTATAGTGTAGATTCTAAATTGTTCAAATCATGACCCCCGAGGGAAGGGCGGGGCCACAATGGGGAATCAAAGTTTTATATAGATATATTAAGGAAAAATCTTTGAAAATCTTCTTCTCAAGAACCACTGGGCCAGAAAAGCTGAAACTTATGTGGAAGCATCCTGGTATAATGTAGATTCTAAATTGTTCAAATAATGACCCCTGGGGGAAGGGCGGGGCCATAATGGGGAATTAGAGTTTTATATAGAAATATATAGGGAAAATATTTGAAAATCTTCTTCTCAAGAACCACTGGGCCAGAAAAGCTGAAACTTATGTGGAAGCATCCTGGTATAGTGTAGATTTTAAATTGTTCAAATCATGACCCCGGGGGTAGGGCGGGGCCACAATAGGGTATCAAAGTTTTACATAGAAATATATAAGAAAAATCTTTGAAAATCTTCTTCTCAAGAACCACTGGGCCAGAAAAGCTGAAACTTATGTGGAAGCATCCTGGTATAATGTAGATTCTAAATTGTTCAAATAATGACCCCCGGGGGAAGGGCGGGGCCACAATGGGGAATCAAAGTTTTATACAGAAATATATAGGAAAAATCTTTGAAAATATTCTTCTCAAGAACCACTGGGCCAGAAAAAGTGAAGCTTATGTGGAAGCATTCTGGGGTAGTGTAAATTCTAAATTGTAGGAATCATGACCCCCGGGGGAAGGGAGGGGCCATTATAGTGAATCAAAGTTTTACATAGAAATATATGGGAAAAATCTTTGAAAATCTTCTTCTCAGGAACCACTGGGCCAAAAAAGCTGAAACATATGTGCCCATGGAAGGATCATGGGGTAGTGTAGATTTCAAAATGTCTAAATTATGATCAGTGGGGTAGGGTGGGGATGCATTATGTATAACAAGGGGGAAATCTGGTAAAGAACGGAATGGTCAAAACTTCTCAGGTGAGCAATGTGGCCCATGGACCTCTTGTTATCAACTTATGGGGACCTTCATAATGGCCTTCATAATGGCACATCTCATCCTTTCTCTTCAGAAGCATAAGAATCAATATTAATATTAAATGACTGTTTTAATTGTACATAATTATAATATTTACAGCTCCTTGTCCGCCTGGGATGTACTCTTTGACAGGATATGAACCATGTAAGGTCTGTCCTCTACATCACTACCAAACTGCTGAGGGACACACAAATTGTACAGAATGTGCACAGAACAAGATGACCGTGAACACTCGCAGTAATCATTCTGCTGAATGTGTCGCTGTTGGTATGTATAAATATTAAGTTTGATATTGTTTTCAGCTCAAAGAGCGGAAGTCTCAATTGAGTTTTTGTGTTCACATTTTGTCTGGAGTCTGTCTGTTTCTCTGAAAACTTTTCAAATATGCCAGAAAGTATGAGAAGAGATCAAAAAGTTCAGGAAGTTTATCTATATTTACAAAACTAAGGCTATCTAAATTTAATTCCCTGGTTCTCATGCCAATTTTCTCCAAAACAGATGCGGGAGGGCGGCATTTTATTTTTCATTTTATTGGCAATAAAGTAGATGAGGGAGGTATTTTTAGCTCACCTGAGCCGAAGGCTCAAGTGAGCTTTTCTGATCACATTTTGCATCCGTCTGTCTGTCTGTAAACTTTTCACATTTTCGACTTCTCAAGAACCGCTGGGCCAATTTCAACCAAACTTGCCACAAAGTATCCTAGGGTGAAGGAGATTCAAGTTTGTTCAAATGAAGGGCCATGCCCTCATTCAAGGGGAGATAAATGGGAATTGATGAAAATTTGGTGGCATATTTTAACCCTGGTAATGCTGAACCCGGAATATTCCGGGTTTCGAATGCACGTGCTGTGAGCTGAACCCGGAATATTCCGGGTTACGACATATTGTTTATTAGCTTATTTTTATATCGTATTTTTAGACATCCAATGGAAATAAAGTTTAATAAAAACCTTTTCCTTATTTGGTAATACATTTGAGGTTAAAACGAGCTTAGTGACGTAGCTCAAATCTGATTGGTTGTTATTTAAAACAAGTAGAGAGTTGCAAGTTTATTTATGGGTTGCCCAAAATGGCGGCGTTCTTACCACAACATGAAAACTTCTTCAACGAATTATTTAACGACGATGAAAGTGACGAAGAGTTTGAGGGATTTGAGTCTGATGATCTGGCCGACAGTTCCGATGAAGAAGTCAACGAAAATCCGAATAATTTCATGGCAAACTGGCAAGATGGTGACCGACCTCGCACTGACATGGGCTTCACAGGCGTCCCTGGACTAAATGTTGAAATGCCAAATGATCAACGTTCGCCACTTGATTTTTTCAACCTATTCATCAAGGATGATGATTTCCAGACTATGGCAGACGAAACTAATCGCTATGCGGAGCAGTATCTACAACAAAATGAGGGAAACCTCAAGCCTTCTTCCCGATTTCGTAACTGGGTCAAAACCACACTGGATGAAATGAAGGTGTTTATCGCAATGACGATGTCGAGGAAACGCGGGTTACAACCCTCTATACAAACTCGGATCCCTTTACAAAAACATTATTTCTTCATTCGGGACTGTGTTTCGTCCACACCAACATCTGTCTTTGGATGAAGGGATGGTACCGTGGCGAGGAAATCTGTCTTTTCGTGTGTACAATCCAGACAAACCCAAGAAGTATGGGATCAAGGCCTACATGTTGTGTGATGCAGTGACTGGGTATTGTTTACGTTTCAAACTTTATACTGGGAAATCGGAGACACCTGCTAGTGCAAATGGGGCTACATACGACTTAGTTATGGACATGATGCGAGGATACTTTCAGGGTCCGACACTCGTCAAAATTTGGTCTCGCCATTTTGGCAACCTTGATATGATCACAGGTTGCCCAAATGAATTTCAGGTCGTCCAAATGAAATTGACATATTTTTATCTCAAATAAAACTTTTTTAAAGACTTGGTAAACATTGCATCAACTGATTGATCGAATGCAGATTTGTCAGGAAGAAAAATCTACGCGGCTGCAATTTGAACATGTATGATGTTGAACATGTTGAATGGGTTGATTTTGTTACAGAAAATATGTTTTCAAGGCCTTTTGAAGTTTATTTTATAATATTAACTATCGGTATTAAATATTCCTAACTTGTCTAAGGTCGTCATTTGGGCGAGGCAGACTGAAAATCAAGTCGTCCAAAATCATTTCAGGATGGAAATGACGAGGTGACGAGCGCGAATGTCGAACCCTGTACTTTGGACAAGGTTACATTTTGTACATGGACAATTATTATAGTTCACCACAGCTTTACACAGACTTGTTTGTGCTCGGGTGTGGTGCCACTGGAACATTACGGGTTAATTGGAAGGGAATTCCACAGCGAATAAAGGACAAAAAGGTGGACAAAGGTAACATGTTCAATATGTGTAATGATGAACTTGTTCTTGTGAAGTACCATGACCGTAAAGTTGTTTACCTGTTATCTACCATCGAGGAAGCTGCAAAAGCCCCCTGTGGAAGAGTGGCACCACGAACAGGAACACCCATTGAAAATCCTGCTATCGTTAATGCGTACAACAAGTATATGGGAGGCGTAGATCGGTCTGATCAAATGGTTTCTTACGCTACTTTCAATGCCAGGACCCTGAAGTGGTGGAAGCGTGTGATTTTCCATGTGATTTCTCTAGCTACTTTGAATGCTTACCTGTGCTACAAGACCCTAACTCCAAGGAAACCTATGCTTCACAGAGTTTTCCGAAAACAACTTGTAACCGAACTTGTGCAGTCCGTTAACAGAGCATGTGTCCCGGGAATGAGTACAAAGCCTGTCGGGAGGCCTAGCACTGCAGCAGAACCCATCATGAGACTGCAGGGGCAGCACTTCCCCATGAAGATCGTTGGAACAGGCATAAAGAAAAACATTACCCGTGCTTGTGTCGTGTGCTCGGTGGCAGAGAGGCAGAGGCTCGAATCCATTGGAGAAAAAAGGAAAAGAGCAGGAAAGGAATCTAGCTATCAATGTGACAAGTGTCTGTCTGCCTTATGCGCTGACCCCTGCTTCAAACTTTTTCACACACATAAAGACTACATAGCTGCGTACAAGACGCGTGTGATGGTTGACGAGTAAATTTTACCAGTTCAGGTGTGAAAAATATGTGCTGATACAAATCCATCTAAATTTATTTATTATGGCATTTTATGTGTTCATTGTTGATCTATTATTCATTTTATCTGTTATAAGTATTACATTGAAAACTAGATTCCTTTTCTGCCTTTTTCTTATGACATTTCATGTGTTCATTATATTATTCGTGCTATCTGTTATAATTTATTTATTTATATATTTATTTATTTTTATTTATTTATTTATCTGTGATTAATCAATTTTTAAATTTCTAATGAAATATTGATTGATTTGATTTAAAACAATAATATGATATTTCTCTTCTAATATCTATTTCTTTATGTTTTTACCTGTATTTACCTGAAGGTTACCTAAATATATATATATATATGTATGTGTACATGTATATAATTATTACCTGTTCAGGTTTGAAAATTATGTCTGGATACATTAAATCCAAATTTAATTATCATGACATTTTATGTATTTATTGTATTATTCATGTTATTTGTTATAAGTTATTTATTTATTTATATGTTATTATATTTAATAAGTTGCATATTTAAAGTTATTCAGTCGTTTTCATTGGTTGTTGAAATTGATTTTACCTGTTGAAAAATACATACCTGTTCAGTAATTGAATGAAGAAAATTATCAATTAATTATTTATTCATTAATTTCTCATGAAATATTGATTGATTTGATTTAAAAAATAATATTTCTCTTCTAAAATCTAATTTTTTTTATGTTTTTACCTGTATTTACCTGAAGATTACCTGTACAGCTGTATACATACAAATATATTGTATTATAACATATTTGAAATAGAAGCTAAAAGTCTGCTGAACATTTTGATGTATAATATGTCTATATTACTATTATTGTTACTGAATAAATTTTATTTAAACAAACCACCTCTTTTACTTTCAAAACTAGGCAAAAATATTCAGCTCACAGCCTTTTCACTTTGTATTATAATTTATACAGCATTACTAGGGTTAAAAATCTTCTTCTCAAGAACCACTGTGCCAGGAAAGATGAAACTTATGGGGAAACATCCTCAGGTAGTGTAGATTCAAGTTTGTTGAAATCATGACCCCCGGGGGTAGGGCGGGCAAAAATGGCCGACCAAAGTCTTACATAGAAATATATAGGAAAATTCTTTAAAAAATCTTCTTCTCAAGAATGACAAAGCCATAATTCACCTTATTTATATGGGAGCATGGTCAGGTAGTGTAGATTCAAGTTTGTTCAAATCATGACCCAGGGGGTAGGGCGGGGCCAAAATGGCCGACCAAAGTTTTACATAGAAATATATAGGAAAATTCTTAAAACATCTTCTTCTCAAGAATGACAAAGTCATAATTCATCCTATTTATATGGGAGCATGCACAGGTAGTGTAGATTCAAGTTTGTTCAAATCACGACCCCTGGGGGTAGGGCGGGGCCAAAATGGCTGACCAAAGTTTTTATAAAAGATATATATAGGAAAATTCTTTTAAAAATCATTTTCTAAAAATAGCAAGTCAATGATTGGTTATGGGACTACTTTTGGATTTAAACTTTACAATAAAAAGCCATTTTCTACTTTTTCCTACTCTTAGTGCTCAGGTGAGCGATGTGGCCCATGGGCCTCTTGTTCAGTGTACGAAATTCCCGTCCGCCCGCACGCCCGAGACGTACTAAATCTGGAGCGGACGTATAAACTTTACACTGCATCAGCCCGCTTGGACGCACTAATTTTACCCCATCCCTTACATTTTTGCAGATAAATGTTTTGAAAAGGTAAAGACCAAATATTTCAACGTACATAAAAGGCATTATTCCCTGGGACAACAAGAAATAAACAATATAACTGATCAATAAATCTGTAAATATATGAAGAATACCACCATCGTCTTTTAACCTGAATTTCCTCTGTTTTCACGCATGAAACGATATTTTCAACTTTCCACTGGTAAATTTTGCAATTTTTTTTTCAACTTAAATGATCTGATAAAAATCAAACACATTCAATGTGTTTATTTATAAGAATTAATAAGTATTAATATTTGTATAGTGTTCATGCCGTTTATTAAGACAAAACCAGTGTACTAAATAATTCAGGATAACGTTTTGTGCTTTTATTCAGTGGTTGCTTTAACTGATTTTTTGTTT